AACAGTACCAAGACCACCAACACTACAGATGACCGACCTAGTAGTGGAAGACCAAAGGTCACCACCCAACGTCAGGATCATCAGATTGTGCAACAACATCTGATACTGACTTGTGATGCCATTTTCTCAGAGACTAGTGTTGTGTTTCACTTTTAAGAACATTTGACACTTTAATTTCAACCTTGATGATCAGTTTTGCCAAGTTTCATCTTTTTAATATGTCTCAAAGTAAGTTTACAGTGTTTGGACAAATAAGGTTTCTCATATATATCTATCCATGGTGATATTTCTTTTGCGGTTCAGTATATGTAGCCAGCCTGGCTGGTTAGTGCTGTTGCCATTATTTCACTCGCTGAACCTAAAAAAATTCTTCAGATCAATCACATTATTGGTCTTTAGAGATGGCTGAATGGATCTTGCGGTTCACAAAAGGATCATAGACTTAGGACAGTTGTAAGTCCAGGAGTAATGAAGCCATGTCAAGTCACAAACTCAATATGTGAAGTCACAGACTGTGAAATCCATTCAACAATATAATTGTCACATTGCAATTATAAATCCTCCAACAATCCTTTTCCAGTCAAATTTTGGGTCTTACGATCACTTTAGCGCTACCAACGCTATGTTGAACGGACCCCTGATTTGTGACTGTGCTGATTGAATGTCAACATACCTGGATGACTGGGATCATTGCCCATGTTATCAGTCACTGGTTTGCAGGGTCCAGACTTGACTATTTACAGTCACAGTGATAGAGATGGAATATTAGATCACACCATTAGACAACATTAACTCACTCAAACTTTAGAGATAGGATGCAGGGACATTTGTAGAACTGATGTCACATAAAAAGAAGGCTTGATTGAAAAAACCCTTTAAAAGTTGATTCAACATGCATATCAATTTCAAGCATAACTGAAGTGAATAGCCTTGTGACAGTTTTGGATTCTAACTTCAAAACTTCTGCTGACATACAATAGAAAAGGTTTTAGTGAACTTGTCCCATGAAAAAGGATTTTGTAATCATGCTGTAGTTCCATAAGGCGTGGTGAAATGGGGTTTAACGCCCAAGATTATTTCACTTGACGTGCATGCACACGTGTGTGTACGTGGCTGCTTGTACTTGTCTGGACTAATGTTGATTTTTATAGTGCTAGCCCACTGAGATACCATGCCGCAGTTTAACATGAATACCCCACTCAAACACAGTATACAGCCGACAAGTCCTTGTTTTAGGCCCTTAATACCAAGCCCCAAGTACCATCTTTTAACGTCTTTGGTTATTGACGCAGATGGAGATCAAACCTCCGACCTTCTGCTCTCCAGGCGAATGCTCTACCACTAGACCACGGAGGCAGTCTGTAGTTCCCTGAATAGGTTTGTGAATTCCTTCAGGGATTGATCTTCTGATGAGAGGGAATGTGTTAAAGCTTCACTCAGAAACATTACAGCCATACCACCACAACCTAAATAATAAAGTGTGGGCTAGGCAAGCCAGTAGTAATATTTGTATATCATATGACCAAAGATCCATGCAATTGTGGTACAATGACACAAACATATTGTGTTCTGTCAACGAGGAAGACCTCTTTGGTCAAGTGGATGGAATGTCTGCCTTGAGAATGGAGTCAGTGAGTGAGTGAGTTGGGTTTGACGCCGCTTTTAACATTATTCCAGTCATATCGCGGCGTGTCAGCTTAATGTGGGAGGAAAGCCCGAAGTGATGCAGGTCTCAGACGTTTACCACTATGGTGCTGACAAACCTAGAAACATAATTGGGGCAAACCGGTATTCGAACCCACAAACATAGGTTTCTGGCGTGCCCAAGGGACGCAACTCTGCACAGCGAATTAGACGACTGGGCCACTCGTGCCCCCCCTTGAGAATGGAAGGTCGGTGGGTTGATCCATACCAGCTGCATCATACCACAGAAGTTGAAAACTGGTATCTGTTGTTACCCTGCCTGGTGCGTGGCTTTAAGAGGATTAAAAAGGACTGGTCAGTTCGGGGAGAGAATGGCCATCTTAAACTGTTGGATGGTATCTCAGTAGACTGGCACAATAAAATTGGCATTAGTCCGGACTCGTACAAGCAGCCACACAAATGTACACGCACCTGGCTATATAAATGCAATAATCTTGATTGCCACCTAAAACCCCATTTCACCTCACCTCAGTAAACAAGCCATGGTGTGCAGGGCCATACTTAACCCTGGATCTTCAGGTGGTCAAACATTGATTCAGCTGTAGAAATAACAAACAACAACCTGAATCTGAGTATATAAATTTAATATATATGTATGGTGTAACATCTGATGTACAAAGGTCATTGTTAAAACAGACACAGAATTCATGAAACACATTCATATCTAACAATGAAAGTTATCACACGAACAGTTCCTACTGAGAACTACAAAACATCAACAGCTTACGTAAATGTTCATATATAAATGGTTCATGTTCCTTTCACAAGTATCTGATGTAAATAAAAGATTACAAGTATGACTAATTTACCAGGTAGTGATCAGGTAATGTTTTGACACATTAAATTCATTAAGGGACCAGTCTTTTATTACAGGGGTTGGTGGGTCAGAGAGAATGAGGGGAGGCTCCTAAAAAATGATACCCATGTTTGGGGAGGTCCCTTTTAATAATAAATATGAAAAGCTCTTGCATTATGTCTTTTCGGGGAGTGTCATGAAAAATATATGCAAGGACATAGGGAGGGTCATTCCAAAAAACGAAAACATTTTGGGGAGGGTATTATTTTTCAGTACATCAGCACATAAAAAACTTCTGGAACCAAACCCCTTGGTCCCTGCGTACTCCTTCAACATATTTTTACAACATTTTGGTTGTGTTGAACTTAGGATAACTCGAAGTATTCCGTTCAACTTCGACACAACTCTGTTTAACTGTAACTGACCATAAAAGCTCCGTTTACACCCTTGCCGGATTGGAATTATGGAGTTTGGGTAGACTAACGAGTGAGTGAGTATGGTTTATATTCATGCAATTTCACGTCCAGGACACCAGAAATGGGCTACACACATTGTACCCATGTAGGGAATCAAACCTGGGTCTTTGGCTTGACGAGCGAACACTTAAACCACTAGGCTACCCCACCTACCCCGACCAACGTGTCTATGTTCCAATCAAAACCTCGTAATGAAATTAACTTCCGATTCATAAACTGCCATGCAGATTTCGGTTGATTGCAGGATTTGCAATGTATGTGTACTGTCAACGTAGCATCAAGAGATATTTTCATGTTTTTAATCAAGGTGCTCATGAGATTTGATGCAATTCGCAAGTTGGACCTGTTTTTTACAATACAGATCTTGATTATCGATTGAATCATCTTCACTGGGCGCTGCCATTTTTTTTAAGCAAATGCAAGTGATATCAGAGGTCAATATGAGGTACATAGAAGAGACATAACCCGTAATAGCCACTGGTGGCACCAAGATCAAGCCCAGAAATCCCAGCCTAATTCGGAAAGGTTGGAAATTGAACTTTTACAGTCAGTTAATGCCTTGCCTCGGGAATAATAGAACAAGATCAGGGAGAACCAGCATTCAAACCCATGATTACAGGTTTCTGGCACGCCTTGGGGATGGATCTCGGCCGTCAAACTGCATCTCCTTTCCAACTGGGCCACTCTTGTCCCCTCACATCTTGTGACTTCCGACCCTGTTATTTTGGGATCATATCACTGAGGACATTTCAACCAGAAACTCATCACAAGATTTCTTGATCTCTCAATCTTAATTTAGATTTTTTTATCAATATCAATAGTTCAGATTTCATGTGACCAGGAAGTATTTATGAGACAAAACACTTCCTTGTTGACAACCATGCAATGCTATTGTGTACATGTACGTATGTTATAAGGGCAGTTTCTGAACACTAAATCACACCATAAATTCCTATCCATATCTATCATATAAGTCTTCTTAATAAATAACAAAAGAGACAATACACCATTCATATTCATTTCTAAAGTACTTCTTACAGTGAAACCTTGTTAGTCTGGACCCTGTTAAACTGGAAACCTGTCGCCTGGATGATTACGTCTGAGAACATCCATGTTAAAATACAACATATATGTTCCCATAATTTAAGAAGGTTGCTCTAACCCCATGTGTGGTGTAATAATTGTTTGTTTGTTGTTTTACGTCGCACTCAGCAATATTCCAGCTATATGACGGCGGTCTGTAAATAATCGAGTCTGGACCCGACAATCCAGTGATTGATGTCATGAGCATCGATCCATGCAGTTGGGATCAATGATATGCTAAAACCAAGTCAGCGAGCCTGACCACCGATCCCGTAAGTCGCATCCTACGACAAGCAAAGTCACCTTTTATGACACGCATGGGTTGCTGAAGACCTATTCTACCCCGGATCTTCAAGGGTCCAGGATAAAGTACTGCCACAGCCTTTGATCTTTTAGTGATGCATCTTAGAATAGTTAATACATAATGTTTATAGGGAAGATTCACTAGGAACAGTTTGGCCAGATTAACAGGATTTCTCTGTATAATGCAATGGAGAAGTGTGCTGTACTGTCAGAAAAATCAGCATAAATGTCCGAGATGGACAAATATTTTGATTATGTACTAGTTTGGTGAACAGGTAATATAAATCTTATACATACCCGTGAATGATAGAGTAGAGTGACATGTATAATAAGTTACGATAACATATAGATATATATCAAAACCATGAAACTAACAACATGAGTTTGCCACTAATGTGGCTATATCCCCCGCCCCTGTTGCAGAATTTATGACATAATTAATTCTAAGAAAAACCCTTACCTTTTATAACCGAGGTGGAACTTGTCATGGAAATTGTAAAAAAAGAAGAGTTTGGAACCTAAGTCGATCTTGTTGCCATGGAAACGTAAAAATTAAAAATTTTAAAATTTCTAAATAGCAAAAGGCACCAGTTCAGCATGTATTTGACAGACCTGCAAAGTTTCATGAAAAAATATAGAAAGGTTTCTGAGTTATGCTCCGGAAACAAAAAAACGTGACGGAGGGACGGACGGATGGACGGACGGAGCCCGTTTCTATATCCCCCGCCAACATTGTTGGGCGGGGGATAAAAAATAGTTTTCATACTGTACTGCAAAATCTGGACGGTATAGAAATGGACGTTTAATTTTGTATTATTTTGACAATATCTCAGTGCTGTAGAAAAACATTGTGCTTCAAAAAATGAATCAAAATATTCTACTCTTATTTTGCTCCACGTTTTACATGTAAGTTACTACTAAGGCATTTGGTTTTACAAAGTAAGATACCGTACATTCACATACATCCATACATTTATCCATGTAAACCATTATCTTATAGTATATCCCTGGTACCTCTCATCACAGAACCTCTGTGACTTGACTATCATAATTGGATTAGTTCTATATTTGGTCCCCATCGTTAGTAGCATATCTTGACTTGGATGTCATTACCACGATACTGCTGTCTTTTTCGCATACTTGGAATATTAATTCTAAAGGGGTACATGGCCCCAGATTATTGGCAGTCCAAGGAAAGTTTGTTGCAGTCATTAAAATCACACTTTGTTGTCATTTTATATGTATATCGATCTATGTTTTTGATTCTCTTGTCACACAGAGACAATGTCTCTGCTTCATACATAGGGATGAGAATGGATATTATCCTTTTCAGCTGAAACTTCTTTGCGATGGAGCGTGGTCCATAATTTGGGGGTCTTAATGGGTGAAGCCATCAGATTTTAACAAATGCGGATACGCGGATACGCAGAAGATTCTCACTCCTGCATACATGACACTAATTTAACAATACAACTTTAGACTGGACAGAGTACCCCATTACAGATAACAGCAGTGTCGTCAATGCTGTGTAATATCTTCCCTCCAACTGATCATCAAGCATTACAAATAAACAACTACATAAGGCCTCCGATCTACCTTCAAGGATACTTCCCTCTCTATAACACAAATACAATATAGATATGTTTGACAAGGTACAATATCAATGGGACTTGTGACATAAATTGACAAAGCAGAACAACATACTGGCATATAGGAAAGCGTTAGCAGAATTGTTTAAATGTCAGAAGTGGATTACAAAGTAGTATCCCACATGGCTCAGCATCCCAAGAATCAAGACATACAAATAAGGAAAGATTCTCATAACTAAAATATCTGAAACTGAGAATGCTTGTTTATTATATAATCTGAGTGAGTTGGGTTTAACGCTGTGATGAACAGTATTTCAGTCATATCACAGTGTCAGCTTGATGTTGGAGGAAAGCCCGAGGGGATGCTGGTCTTAGATGTTTACCACTTTGGTGAAACCAACAAGCATGGGAATGGTGCTGACTAACCAAGAAACAATCAGGGCAAACCAGGATTTGAACCCACAGTCACAGGTTTCTGGCCTGCTCAAGGGACGCAACTTTGCACAGGATATTGCAATGCCTTAAGACGCCCTGCCACTCGTGCCCATTAGTCCCATAGTGAGTACCATTTCCTGACTTCACGAGGGATATTTTTCTATGTTTTCAGTCAATCAGATGCCTAGGAAAAACCAAAGGACTTATGCTCAAATGACTCAAAATTAATCCCAACACACACATTAAGCACTAACTACCTACCACACATGGAGACACTAATGGTCTGAATTTACAGGACTATTTTTTAGATCAAAATACTTCAAACAAGTTACCAAACAAAACCATGTGATTCATAAACAAGGTTGATTACTTTAAATATACCAATCATTTGATTTACGTCATACTATTAACGGACTCAAATTCTTTTAAAAGGAGGATGTAAGAAACAGACATGAAAGCAGAAACCAACAAAAACATGCATCCTCATTGCATCCCTTATTGCATTTCCCCTCACAACAATTTCAAACAATGGACGTATTCAAAATAAAATGATATAATAATCTTGCTTCTCCAGTCACCATGACATGGGACAGTCAATCACTGAAAGAGTCACACACCCAAGTGTGCTGGCCTTAAACGGACTAGGAGGAGTGAGTGAGCGAGTTAGTTGCGGTTTATGCCACTTTGAACAGTATTTCAGTTATATCTTGGCGTGTCACCTCCACGTGGGAAGACAGCTCACCATGACACAGGTCATAGATGTTTAACACTTCAGTGAAATCCACAAACATGGATCAGAACAAATCTGGGATTCAAACCCTCAATAAGCTGATCCTAACATGACTAAGGGACATAACTCTGCAAAATGAATTGCAGCACATTCAATGACTGGGAGGCACAAGACCCCTGGTCCCAATGATAACCTATTATAATCCTGACAGACAGATTCCCATCAGATTAAGGCCATAACATACTGATTACATCTGGTTTCAGTTCGATAACAAACCAAAAATATTCATTAAAAAATCAACATTTATCTTTGTGTATGGTGATGCCGTCCTATTATTCCCAACTGTGGCAACTGAGATAATAAACAGTTTCAACAAGATTAGTCGTGTTTGTCATTTGAATACAAATGCTAAGGAAACTTAACAGAAACATTCTCATGCCTGTTAACATGATGGATAGCAAAACTGATATCTGTTGTAAGGAACAGTCTGTGCCAAACACTTTAGAGTGAGTGAGTTAGTATGGTTTTACGCCGCTTTTAGCAATATTCCAGCAATATCACGGCGGGGGACACCAGAAATGGGCTTCACACATTGTACCCATGTCGGGAATCAAACCCGGGTCTTCAGCGTGACAAGCAAACACTTAAACCACTAGGCTACCCGACTGCCCCCAAACACTTTTGAGCCTACTAGCCCGAACATGTCTCTCAGCATCACTTTCAGTAGAATTTAGTGTCATAACAAAGACTACTATTACAGTACCTGAGCTTACTAGACCGGACAGATATTTAGTTGACTCGGGCTTCAGGCTGTAGTCACAGACTGACGGAATACAACAGAATTGCATTGCTAATTGTACTATTAGCACTTGTTTGAATCAGACATCAGAACTTGAAGATCATAGGTGAACAGATCAGGGCTAGGATCAAGCACAAACACAAATGACTTTTCCAAACCTTGAGATCAGTTCTCCACGGCCCTATACTATTTAATCTATACTACTCAAAAGAAGTTCAGGACCACTTGACTATTCCATGTTACTATAGTTAATCTGTCATGCCATGAAAGGCACAAAAAGACCACTTGATTATTTCATATTACTATAGTTAATCTGTCATGCCATCGGTGGTCCTTAACTTCTTTTGAGCAGTATATGAATGACTCATTTGGTATGGCAGCTGGCAAAAAGACCTTCAAAATTGCGTATCATAAACATATCCTGTTGATTGATAAGTATATGTTGCCATGGCATATATGGTAATATGCAGTTGTTGAAATATCACAGATGAAGAGCATAGATGAAAAGAAAATACGTAAAATAAACACTAACAGTAACTTTGTGGCATTCAGCATATGTGCTTGTATATTTATGGCACATTCCATTCAGTCTTCAACAGTCTCGTATCTGAAAGGATAAGGCACAATGAGTAACAATATATTATATATAGTCAGTTAAAGTGTGACGAAGAAAGTGGATGGATGGAAAGTGTATCAGTGTTTAAAGAATATCCTATATCAGTATACCAAATACGGTAAATAATTGTCACAAACATACTGAAAATAGTTTATTTTAAAGTGAATCTCTAGAGTGTCATTTGTTGTTTATCATGCTAAACCCCCTCGGATTCCCATTAACAACCGTATGGATCATTGAAATGAAAAAAAAAGATAGGTTGGTTGTTGTTTAACGCAGCACTCAGCAATATTCCACCTGTATGACGGCGGTCTGTAAATAATTAAGTCTGGACCAGACAATCCAGTGATTGACATCATGAGCATCGATCCACACAGTTGGGATTGATGACATGCATCAACCAAGTCAGCGAGACTGACCACCCGATCCCGTTAGTCGCCTTTTATGACAAGCATAGTCTCCTTTTACGGCAAGCATGGGTTGCTGAAGATCACGGGAAAAAAAAAGAAGTCCGAAAATGTATTACATAAGTAACCTCTAATAATTATATTAATTTGAAAAAATATTGTCCTAAATTGGACATGCTGTCATCTCCAAAAATTGAATTTCAGTTGGATTCAGCATTGGTTCCCACAGAAACCCAATGTTCCTGCAGTGTTGTAAATTTTTTACAGACAAAACGATGCTAACTTGGATAGTCTTTTTCTTAGCTCCTTCATCTGGTCATTCTTCTTCATGAGCATCTGCTTGAGGTTCTTGAATGGATTGGTCTGGCTCACTTTCTTCTCCAGTTCCTGCAACCAAAACAGAAATACTTCATGTTCTTCTTCTTGTTGTCATTAATCCAAGGGAGATAACTCAACATTACAGAGCACCACTCAACTCTCAATCATGCATATCATTTCAACCAGGACTTGGAGGAATCAGAACATGTATTAATTTGGTCATGTATGACACAGCACAATCTTGCAGATGGTGTGACCCTTCCTTATAGAAGTTTTGTGTGTGATTTTGTTTCCTTTTTTTCAAATACAAATATACTTAATTATCATCACTAAACAACAGCCAGTCTTAAAAAAAGGTCATATTGTTCAAACTTTGTGCATCAGGATTTGACAAAACACAAAAAAACGTCATGCAACATCACTATTCCAGTCTTGACCAGCTTTTATGTAAGTAGTGGAAGAAGCCGAGTACATCTAAATGTTCAAGGAGCAAATAATTGCAGCTGCAACAGAAAATATTGGACGAATCTAGGGAAATGATTTTTAAAATGATATTTACACCTGTAACATTTAAAAGCTAACAAGTAAGTGTCATTACCTTTTCAGCCATTTCCAACATCTCTCGTATTCTGAGGAGTTCATGTTTGGTACCAGCCAGGTCAGTCTCCATATTGGCCTCGCTCAACTGTCCCTTCTTGCGAGTCTACATCAAATACATAATGAAACAAATAACTGCTGCAGCAGAAAACAAAGTACCATGTTTCCTAGAGTCAATAAGAATATATATTTCTTGTTAACTATTCTTCACAAATAATCCTTTGCAAAACAAATATAATTGTGACAAAGTAAAAACAAAGTTTACTTTTCAGGAGCATAGAATGGGAACTGCATGAAGGTTGTGGTGATGACCAAGAATCATAATCAGGCCAAATTTGGGATTCCAACCCTTGATCAGCAAATCCTGCAGATCTAAGGGGCACAACCCTGCACAGTAAACTTGCGAGTACAGACCATTGAGCCATTTATGTAGTTACATATTGACAGAAACAAACCAAACAATATTACATTGATGCCACGCAAGTTGACTTATAAGTTATAACAATAAACTGGGGCATCGATATAAAAGATTTTCATGGACATGAAATTTGCCAAAATTTAATTGTCTGTAGTTGAAGGCCTAGAAGTTGTATGCACCACGTCTTCCATCATTGATACTACATTTTGTTGCTAACTGTGCTACACCTAGGTTTGGACTTGGGGTCCCAGTAGCATTGACAAAGAGCTATGACGACACTCTCTTGTTTCAACTGTAGATTATCCAACGAATTAACAGTTTACTGAACTACTTTCTGTAAGGCAAATTTTAAGCTCTGTCATTAATGAGCATGTGCAGTACGAATATACAGGCTGGTTTAAATGCCTCACGGACATCGAGGCATGAAGTGAAAGGTTCTCATGTATTACAAATGGCTTGTACAATATTGTAACAAGTGTCCTGTTACTTTGTGTTATCCTTAACATAAATCTGCCATTTCTTCAACAAATTGCACAGCTTGAACACTAGGACTGGGACGATTCAACTGTGTGATCCAATACCTTGTACACGATCCGATATGTATCACAATACATGCATGTGCTCTTATTTGTGGTGCGTAAGTCCTCTTTTTCATAGACAGGATTGCCAAATACCTGGCACACTGACGATTTACAGTTGGCAGCGACAAGTATGGCATAATGGAATAAAATATTATGTTTTCACTACTAGTCACTTATCATATTTTGACTTCATCATAAAACCATGTATAATGTCTGTCATGACAAAATAGTCTGTGCAAAGTACTTTTGAGTCTACTAACTCAAATATGGCTCTTAGCACTATTTTCAAAAGAGTCGAGTGTTATCCTGTGGACTATTATTACCTGAGCTTAGAAGACCAAACATAATTTTACTAGGCTCGAGCTTTGGTCAAGTCACAGACTGCAAAATATACATAATAACTTGAATCAAAATATTTCCTTTGACTTTCTATTTCTTACAGAATCTAATTCTGTCTGCATGTCAGCCAGCTTCCTTCTAATCTCCTCCGAGTCGGCACCTCCCTGTAAACAAGGCAGGCTTCATAAGACTAAAAATGTGATATATTAATTCATACATTAACGTGATCTTGCTACTCTTCTTACTCTTATTCATATCATATAGTGAATACCAAAAAAGTTTAATCCGCTGACATGTAGTTCTGTTTTCGCATGACAGAATGGGTCAATCTTAATGGATATTAACCAGTTTTCAAGTAAACAGTTGCAGAGAGTGAGCGAGTGAGTTTGGTTTTAACGCCGCTTTTAGTGAGTGAGTGAGTGAGTGAGTTTGGTTTAACGCCACTTTTAACAGTATTCCAGTTATATTAAGGCATGTCAGCCTAATGTGGGAGGAAAGCCTGAAGTGATGCAGGCCGCAGACATTTACCACTTTGGTGAAACCCACGAGCATGGGTATGGTGCTGACAAAGCTAGAAAGATAATTGGGATCCGAACTCACAATCATAGGTTTCTGGTGTGCCCAAGGGACGCAACTCTGCACAGCGAATCGCAGCGCCTTAGACAACTGGGCCACCCGTGTCCCCCTAACGCCACTTTTAACAGTATTGATGTTATATCACAGCATGTCAATTTGGAAGGAATGCCTGAAGTGATGCAGGTCTCAGATGTTTACCACTTCAGTGAAACCCACAAGCATGGGGATGGTGCTGACAAACCTAGGAACATAATCGGGGCGAACCGGGATTCAAACCCACAATCATAGTTAATGGTTGTAAAGATACACCACTGCATCAAGTGAATCCCTTCATAAAATATAACCATAATCACATTCATACTTTAAATGTAAACGACTTTATTGACAACATGGAGTTACCATGGTTACAGATGTCACTACACTTGATGTAGCTCCATATAAAATGGCAATGCTAGAATAATATAAAGATAAGGTGAAAATAGGTTTACCGGCCTTCCGCTCTCCAGGCAGATGCTCTATCCATCAAACCATGCACAGAAGAGGATGAATAGTATAAAGAGGTGTAAATAAAATGATATTTGTTTCAAAATCCTAATTTCAGTATCACTATTTTTGTAATTTTACCTGTTTTCCCTTCATGCTGCCCATCTGAGAATTGAGTCTATCCAAATCCCCTGACAACTTGAGTTGCCGCTTCTGTTCATCACTCATCTGAAGACAAAAGCAGCTTTATGTCACCACAAACAGGGCAGTTAAATGTGAAAACCATTATGGGGTGTCTCAGCATCCTACTGAAACAATAAATGCAATTAGTCAATGAGGACTACCTTCATCAAATTGTTCACTTGTCCTCAGCATAAGTTAGTAGTCTGGGGCTAGCAGACTAGTGTTAATCACGAAGGCTGCACACAGCATCAATGTCAGACAATGGTAGGGTTTGCACAAGGTAGGGATCAGTTGACTTCCTGGAGTTCTATGTTGCCTCATTCTTGAGCTGAGAAAAATTTGATGTCACCGCTACTCCACAGAGTAGCCTAATGTATTCACAGGTACACAAACATGTGAAGTACACAAACATGTGAAGTACACAAACATGTGAAGTACACAAACAGGTGAAGTACACCAACAGGTGAAGCACACAAACATGTGAAGTACACCAACAGGTGAAGTACTGAAACATGTGAAGTACACCAACAGGTGAAGCACACAAACATGTGAAGTACACAAACATGTGAAGTACACAAACATGTGAAGTACACCAACAGGTGAAGCACACAAACAGGTGAAGTACACAAACAGGTGAAGCACACAAACATGTGAAGTACACAAACAGGTGAAGTACACAAACAGGTGAAGTACACAAACATGTGAAGTACACAAACAGGTGAAGTACACATACAGGTGAAGCACACAGACATGTGAAGTACACAAACAGGTGAAGTACACAAACATGTCTTCATAAGGGTCGACAATACCCCTTGGACATTGGTGTTCAACACTTAGTGTGCAGAGTGCTCATCTTTACCACCTTGGCTGTTTAGTCATCTTGGCCTGTAATATATTGGCGACTGTCTGGGATCAAAATTTGGAAACATTTCTAATATTTAATTAGTAAGTCTGTGTGGAGTATTCGAGAAATGTGACCTTTGTTCACTCTTATATTGACTGCTTTCAGCACATTTTTATTTTTATTCTTTTTGTGAGAGATTGTCGATAATGAAAGAAATTAGAGCCATGGCAATATTACCCACAAGGTACACTCAATGTGAGCTGTACTGTTATATAAAGGAGAAATCTGCAGCCATCAAGTAAGAAAAGTGTGACTGTTAATTGGCTTTAATTTGATGTAGTTTTTCTTTGTTAAATATGCAACAAAGAGGGGCAATGATGGCTGAATCCGAGAGTTTGTTTGTTTGTTGTTTAGCGCCACACTTAGCAATATTCCAGCTATATGACGGTGGTCTGTAAATAATTGAGTCTGGACCAGACAATCCAGTGATTGACATCATGAGCATCGATCCACGCAACTGGGATACGATGACATGCATCAACCAAGTCAGCGAGCCTGACCACCCGATCCCATTAGTTGCATCTTACGAAATCCCAGAGCATCCCGGATCTGTCTAATTGAACTCAGTTCCTCCAGAGGACAGTTCGGGGGCCATAACTCACCTGTGCTTCATACAGCTGCAGCTTGCGCTCTAATGTTTTATTCTCTTCTTCCAATTCTTCTATTTTCTGCAAAATGAATTAGCAATCATGTGGGTATTTCAACAATATTGTATCTGACTAAAATTTGTAAACATGTAAGGTAAATAGAGTTCATATGTTTTCTGCTGGATATATTGCCAGAAATCCTTTTGGATTTGTGTTCAACTCTTTAGCCATCATTTTGTGACATGTCAAAGGCCTGTATTGATCATGGACTCAACCAGTGTTCAATCTAGTTGCAAGAAAGGTAGGGCACAACATTGTAGGATCATTTTCAAGAAGAGGCAAAGGAAGCAATGACAACCTCTTTTCCTGGATCAAACAGTCATTGGCTAACTCTTCAACTTGCTGATCACCTCACTTACATTCAGAGTCATGATCTGACTGCAGCAAAGTTCAGTTTGAACTGCATCGTCACAGTCACTTGCCATCATAAGTTGTTCAAGAAAATACAGAAAGTGTCTTTAAACCTATTATTTTGTTATTATAATGGTCTGTCATGCCTGTATACCGGTACATGGTATAGAGAGATTTACACATGTTAGAGTAAGCTAACTGCAAAACAGCCATTCAAGAACTTTAATCAACACATCTACTGGAACGCTTTAAAACAAAGCTACTCTCACTGTTGAATCAGTGCATGGGGGCCATTCACGACAGTGACGTCTCGAATTCTAAAACAACACCGCAAGTCTCATCAAAGTGAACTGCAGCATCCTTTGAGGGATTACATATATCTTGATACCAGGAGGGGTCGTCTCATGCTCAAAATTCAGTAGGTGAGCAATAACTCACCATTGGTGGGAATAGAGTGACCAAGCGATGATAGATTGATCAATGTTACATTTATTGGTGTGAAAGGATGCTGATATTCATCATCACTTGCATCATGACTTATGCACAAGATTTGTAGTATTATTCCTTCGCAACTCCAGCAACTTCATGGCAGGGGACACCAGAAATGGGCTTCACACATTGTACCCATGTTGGGAATCCAACCTTCGGTGTGGCGAGTGAACACTTTAACCACTAGTCTACCGGACGCTCCGATGACAGACCTAGAAACATAGATTCTAGTCCACGACCATAGGTTGCTTGCGGGCCCAAGGGACACAACTCTGCACAGCATATTTTGGTGCCTTAGATGACTGGGCCATCTGTGCCTGAAACATCTACTAAGTGACTTTGGTTCACTTTGATCATTATGTGTTGATGGGATACAAGTACAAGGCCAGATTTGGTCAATATTTTGTACATAATGTGAAATGATTGACAATCAACAGCTGATATTGAATTATTTGGAGAAATAAAAGCAAACTGACAATGTGTAACCCAAGTCAGAGTCCTGACCTGACAGATCAATGCTCATGTCTGTTTCTGATTTGATTAATTATAGATGATGGAATTGTTATGAGACAATAGAGACTGCTGTAAGTTTCTTTGTAATGATTTTCAGTGACAGCAAACAAGTAAAGAGCTAGTAAAGAGCTGATAAAATGTTGAGTGCCACTGTTGCCAGATTTCAGCAGTCGACATCGGCAGCAAGCAGTTGAGAGTTATCCGTCTTTGTGTTTAATTTGAACATGACAGGCTTGATCATTAGTGAAGTTTCGGGGTGGGGCAGTTTCTAGGAAGCTGGTTGTACCTATATAAGGGCGATTTGAAGCCTTTTAGGACCTACGTACTTGCGTCAAATCTACTTCCCCAAATTTGGACTGGATACCTAACTGAAAACACGAAATTTCCTGCCAGATTCCAAAATTGAGAACTCATAAAGGTCTGTTTCAAGACATTCGACAGAGACAGATTCTGAACCTTCATGAGTGCACTTGAACCTGTTACTTATTGCTGCTGCGACTTATTTGACTCATTCATGGTTTTAATATAATTTGTTGGTCAAACATTAATCATGTGTGGCCATTTACTGACTTAACAACATTCTTCTGTACAAACCTATGTCTGGGTTAACAGTTGCAAATCACCTCGTAATAGTGAGTCAGTGAGTGAGTATGGTTTCACACAGCTTTTAGCAATATTCCAGCAATATCATGGCAGGGGACACCAGAAATGGGCTTCACACATTGTACCCATGTCGGGAATCGAACCCGGGTCTTCGGCGTGATGAGCTAACGCTTTAACAATTAGGCTACCCGACAGCCCCTCACCTCGTAATAACAATAAAGAGTTGAAATATTGCTGCTGTAACAATAAAGAGTTGTAATATTGCTGACAGCAGTGTCAACAAAATATTCTGACACTATAGCTTAACCTCGGTTCAACACTGATTTGAACAGTATTCCAGTTTCCGGTATATCGCGGCATAATATGGGAGAAAATCTCAAAGAAATGCAGGTCTCAGATAGTCTCCACTTTGCTGAAATCCAGAAGCACAGGCGAACCAGGACCTGAGTCCACAATCTCAAGTTTCTGGCGTGCCCAAGGGATGCAACTCTGACCAGTTGCCTTGGATCTCTGAGCCAACTGCGGCTTCAAATAAGTCGTGATTTAACTCCTGAACATACCATGTGTAACAAAGCAGTTCCACCCGTCTCATTCAAGGGAGCTAGCTCCTGAACATACCATGTGTAACAAAGCAGTTCCACCCGTCTCATTCAAGGGAGCTAACTCCTGAACATACCATGTGTAACAAAAGCAGTTCCACCCGTCTCATTCAAGGGAGCTAGCTCCTGAACATACCATGTGTAACAAAGCAGTTCCACCCGTCTCATTCAAGGGAGCTAACTCCTGAACATACCATGTGTAACAAAGCAGTTGCACCCGTCTCATTCAAGGGAGCTAACTCCTGAACATACCATGTGTAACAAAAGCAGTTCCACCTGTCTCATTCAAGGGAGCTAACTCCCGAACATACCATGTGTAACAAAGCAGTTGCACCCATCTCATTCAAGGGAGCTCACTCCTGAACATACCATGTGTAACAAAGTATTTCCACCCGTCTCATTCAAGGGAGCTAACTCCTGAACATACCATGTGTAACAAAGCAGTTCCACCCGTCTCTTTCAAGGGAGCTAACTCCTGAACATATCATGTGTAACAAAGCAGTTCAACCCGTCTCATTCAAGGGAGCTAACTCCTGAACATACCATGTGTAACAAAGCAGTTGCACCCGTCTCATTCAAGGGAGCTAACTCCTGAACATACCATGTGTAACAAAGTATTTCCACCCGTCTCATTCAAGGGAGCTAACTCCTGAACATACCATGTGTAACAAAGCAGTTGCACCCGTCTCATTCAAGGGAGCTAACTCCTGAACATACCATGTGTAACAAAGCAGTTCCACCCGTCTCATTCAAGGGAGCTAGCTTTGACGGTGTAAATTCTGTGTCTCTTTTTGTACCCGAAAATTCCCGCTCCTCAAAATCTTTAATCTGCTCCAAAAGGTCTCTGTAAGCATATATTTCAATAATTTCATATACAGGCATATACTACAATCAGATCAACAACCCTATTTGTCTTCCCTTTCAAAATGAAAATATGCTTTTTCAAAAGTTGTGTAAAGATTATAACTCAGTGGTCTATTTCATAAATGGAAACTTTTAAAAAAACAGGTAAATGATGCAACCAGATTTGTCAAACAATCACATAACAAAAAAAAGAAAAGAAATGCTAGAGCTATTTACCTTTCGACTAGCTACATTCAATTTACCTATGACACAAGACTGACCTACAAGAATAGCATATCCTGCAAATTAACAGTAGAAATGATGTAATAAAATTACATGGATTAATTTACTACTCCATAATTTTTCTTTAATCATTTGCTACAAAGTATGTAATAATGAATGCATAGATTTGACATGATGATTATTTGAAAGATTTGTAACTGGAAAGAGTTCCAACACGCATGAAGATAGCTGTGATCCAATGCTTTGTGACACTACCTGTTTTCCAACTCGGAGATATCAGCCTGAAGCTTGAGGTGCCACTTCTCTGCCTGTATGAACATCTGCCTCATCATCAGCACATTGGTGTGGGCCGTGTTCAGCAGCTCCGACTCCGCCTCACTCCGGACCACGGTCTGCAGGCCCTCCAACATCTCCGTCACCTCATCAATGGTGAATGTTCCCTCAGTCAACCTGGGGGTTAGTGCATCAGTTGAGTTTACCATGGCTTTTAACGGTACTTCAGCCATTTCATGGTATAGCAGAATAATGTGGACGGACAACCTCAAAGAGATGCGGATCAAAGATGTTTACCAGACCAAAATGAAGTGAGGTGAAATGGGATGAAACATCACGTGTGTGTAGATGCTCAGCGTTAGAAATTGGCACTAGTCCTATAGTCCTTGCCAAACCATCATAGTTAAGGTATCATAAGGACTATTAGAAATTTGCCATTTTTAAGGGTTTTGCTTTACGCTATCATTACAAGGACTAGTGGACTAAAACAGTTAGTTTCTATCCCTGATGCTTGTACTAGTCGTGACTTAGCCCACTAAGATACCATGCACAGTTTTACATGGATAGAATTGGATACCTCACTCAGACACAGTACACTCCGAGGTGAACAGTCCTTGTTTTATCTCCTTAATGCCAAGCACCACGCAGGATAACAATAAGTACCTTTTTTCAACGTTTAATGGTATGACACAGACAGGGATTTAACCACCAACATTCCCCTCTCCAGGCTGACACTCTATCCACTAGACCACAGAGGAAAAAGACATAGGATTAAGTAATGTAGAAACCATGACACCGAGGAATGGTATGATTGTATAACCGGGTAGGCACAGAAAAGTCGAGGATGCGTAGCGTCCGAGGCTTTTCTGTGCCTACCCGGTTATACAATCATACCATTCCTGAGGTGGAATGGTTTGTCCAACTTATAAACCGCTATCCATTAATCTATGTCATTTTTGGAGCTTATATTTACGCGGTATACGGGTCGCAAATAAGCGCGGTATAGCGAGACACGAGACAGTTGTTATCGCAGGCCGCTGCGCAGACTGCACATGCAGAAGAGGGCTGTACATGCAGAAAGAACCGCGTGCATCGTACCACATGGCATTGTGTCGTTGACTGTTCACGAGAGAGGATGTCTGACGATGACGATATTTTCCTTACTCAAAGTTAATTGATGAAAATTCTGCAGAAAAAGATTAGGATGACTTTTGTTTCCGTTTTGGTGACCCTTTGTCAGATGATGAAGTTACTAAAAATTGCTCCCCAGGTTTGACAATTGTAAAACCTGGGGAGCAATTGTAAAACCTGAGGAGCAATTGTAAAACCTGCTGAGTGGTCTTACTACTAAAGAAAGGTCGTCTGGGAGATGGTTACAACACCATGATAGGTTTATAAGTTAGACATACCGATGATCTAAAAGATGCCACATGAGCATGATAAGTAGCCTTCAACATTTCAACACCGACATGCTGGAGACATTCACTTTGATATCTTACATTTTCAACATCTCGTGCATGGAGTCATCATTTTCATTTACTGAGTCAATATTCAAATCTCAGGGACCCACCCAAAAAGGTGATAACTTAAGTAGCTTCTGAGAAAACTTGTCCACAATTTCACACAGAATGCACTAAGTTGAGTGAGTGAGTGAGTATGGGTTAACGCCGCTTTTAGCAATGTTCCAGCAATATCATAGCGGGGGTACACCAGAAATGGGCTTCACACATTGTACCCATTTCAGGAATCGAACCCGGGTCTTCGGCGTGACGAGCGAACGCTTTAACCACTAGGCCACCCGACCGCCCCCTGCACTAAGTTGAAAAACACAGAGCAAGGGTCATACCTCTGTAAATCAATATTTGACAGGACAAATTATAGAAACTCAATCTTGACAAGCATCTCTGAGATAAGCTTGCAAAGTTTCATTCATGTAACGTCAGAAGAAGTTTCTAAGAAAACTTGTCCACAATTTCACAAACTACGCACTAAGTTGAAAAGCACGGAGCAAGGGCAAAAACTCTGTAAAACAATTGATGGCACCAATTTATGAACTCAGTCTTGACAAGTATCTCTAATATAAGCATGTAAACTTTCATTCATGTAATTTCAGTAGTTGCTGAGAAACCTTGTCCACAATTTCACACAATATGCACTAAGTTGAAAAGCATGTAGCAAGGGACATAACTCCCTTGTACGACTCCAATTTCCGAACTCATTTGAGATCGTGACCAGTAACAAAAGTGTGTAAAATTTCATTTCTCTAACTTGAATAGTTTTTGAGAAAAGTTGTCTACATTGAGAAGTGGATGGACGGACAAACTCTGTTCCCATATCCCCCGCCCGACGTCATGGTGGGGGATAATTATGACAGTCGTAACACTAACATCATTTCAGCCTTAGCCAAGGTGTAATCATATAGTGGAATAGTTCCACTACTCTGGGCACACCTGTACCATGGAGACGATTAGCAATAACCTTGGTATGGATAAAATAGAAACACAAGATTGTCCTGCCTTCAAAACATGTTGAAATGATGAAAATTAACAATTCTATCAAAAGGATGAAGCACTCAAACATAAGTCTTACCTACTGTCTCGTAGTTCATCAAAACAGGCATCTACAGCCCGTAACCTCTGACCTCTCTGGTAGCGTGCAAAACGAATGTAGTTGATCACTTGGGACTGGTGGTGCTGGTTCACTCCTAGTTCTGACGCCTGCACAGTGACAAATCAAGCAAGGGGATTAAAGGGCAAGTTCACACGGAAATGAACCTATTTTTCTTGTACTTTTTCCACATTAAAAATGTTAACCTAGAAATGTCATAGACAAAAATATATAAATATCACAATTAATTAACATATTTTTCGCATTAAAACTATTTATATTTTTCACATTTACCAAGTGTTCTATTTCCATAACAAAAACACCATGGCTTATGCCCCTTGCAATATGACGTCATTGGTGCCAATTGATAAACATTATGACGTCATCATGCTTTGTTAGAGCCGCTTAACTTCACGTGGTGTAGGTACAGGTGTGTGATTCTTGCGTCTCAGATGCCAGCCAGCATAGTGTTATGCTGAGTCACCACTGCGCCGGAATGTGTCGTAGGTCATGTTGTTTTACCGCAAACTGGTACTTTATATCTTTTGCGTTGAGAATAGACAGGGACCCAGTTGAAATGGCACCAATTACGTCATAATCTAAGGGGGATAACTCAGGCCTGTTTAGCTCGAAAAAACGAAGGCCTCATAACGGCATATCATTTTCACACGATTGTGAGCTTCCTACTTTCACTGTGAAAAAAATGAGTGTATATTTTCAAACACAGATACTAACTAATTCTAAAATTGCGTTTTGTTTAGAAAAAGAAAGAAAGTGATTTTTGCGTGTACACTTCCCCTTTAAGCAAAGTATTACATGGTACATTTGCAACAAAAAGACAAACAACAGACACAACATGCTGTATTCTCATCATCTTCCCGAGGCAAGAGAGTTAACTGACTTTAAAAGTCCAGTTTCCACCCTTGCCGAACTAGGCTGGAATTACTGGGCTCGATCGTATCGCCACAAGTGGCTATTACCAGTTATGTCCCTTCTAAGCCACTCCTAAGGACCAATCAGATTCCACCTCTCGTATCACTTGCGTTCGCTTCACACAAAATGGTTGCGCCCGGTCAGGACGATCTGATCGATAATCAAGATCTATATTGTGATAAAACGGGTCTTACATCGCAAAATGCATCAAATCACGTGGGCACCTTGATTAAGATTTGGAAAATATCTGCTGACAACAAGTTGGTGGTGCACATGCTTTGCAAATCCTGCAATCGACCAAAATCTGCACGACAGTTTATGAACCGGATTTCAATTTTGGTGCGCGATTTTGATTGGACTATGCATAGACTTGTTAGTCCAGCCACAACGTAACTCCATAATACCAGCCTAGTTCGGCAAGGGTTGAAAACTGGACTTTTATAGTCAGTTAACTCTCTTGCCTCGGGAAGATGTATTCTCATAAAATCAAGTGTATGTACAGTACACCTACAACAGTAGTACCAATTGTTCATTTGTAATTTTATTAATGGTTGTTAAAACTGTGTGCAAGGCTCAAAGTTGTTATCTTCTTCACTGACTTGTTTTAATGTAAACATGATCCGTTAAACATTCAAAACAAGAGGAGTCTGATGGGAGCGAAATGTTTTCTATTGTTGTTGCAGTGTTCATGTGTTAATTACTATTATATCGATCAGATTCAACAGTTTGGGCTTTTATTAATATTTATTTTTCGTTTGTGATTATTGTAACAAAGTTAAACCAGTATCAACATATGCCTATTTCACCTCTCATTTCAGAACACTCTGATGTTCAGCGGGTGGCCATATTATTATGTACATTTGTGGAAAATGCAAGCTTCTAATAATGTTAACACTGATGAAAAAATGTGACTTGTATTGGGAAGGGGGGCATGTATAAATGTTACATAAAATGGGGGGTAGGTCGGCAAAATATGATATAGTCCTAAGAACAATCTCAAAATTCAATGAAATAGACACCTGCCTATTTCCGAAAGTACTATTAAGAGAATTTATCAAAAATATAATTCCACAGACATGTGAAAGAAGATCAGAATTGTTATTACAATGTGAAAAAATTGCGTTGCATGGGTTCGAGAACAGATGAAAGAGAAGCTAATCACATCAGACACAAAATTAGTGAAAATGAAATGAAATTATTCATGCTTCTCAAGTCTGCAGCCATGTTTGTATATAATACCATGGCCACAAGCAGTGGTAGAACATTGGCACTAGTCCTTTAGTCCTTGCAAAACAGCCCAATAGTTAAGGTATCATAAGGACTAGTAGAAATTTGCTATTTTTAAGGGTTTAATATATATGTTATCATTAGCTAGTTTCCATGGCTGCAACAGCTGTATGGAACTTCACTCATATTGATGTACAAAATATGGAGAAACTTATCTCTGCCTGACCCCGCAATTGTAGAAACCTTTGTATTGGAATTTTCGGGTGTGATATGCATTTGGGTTAAAATTCTTATTTGACAGAAAGCATGACTGTCCATCAAAAGAATTTAAAAAGATCATAGTCAGCCTGTGAATTCTAGCAAGCACAGTTTACAGTCATAGATACTGACAGAATATTATAAGAATATGACCCATCAAGATGATGACAATTGAGAGACATACTTTTGAGGCAAATGTGCTTATTAATTCATCCTTTGCAAATCTAGATAAAACAAAATGGTAGTCTTAGATATGTTCATCACATGCACAACATTGGCACAAACACAGAAATTAGAAGTAATATTGAGTGATGATATGATAATAAGGTGTTGTTCAATCATCTTAAATAATATAGCAGAAAGGTTATCAATACAGATATAAAACAAAAAATGTGAAAACGTCTAATTTATTCAATGCAAAGTTGCAATGTGTTTCTCATTAGCTCCGAAACCTTATGCGTTCATATCAAGTATCTGCAATACTCCTGGCTCTAGCAACATAGAAAATGATTCGTGTCGTGCCGCTAGGTATGACACGCAGTCATTCTAGTTACAGGAATTGAATATATATGCTAATAGCATTGCATAACTTGTCGGACATACTCTGAAACCAAAATAAAAATGTTTTTACCATCGTTAGTTAAGTTGAAGTGTTTGCTATTTGAGACAAATCGTTGCTACAAATATTCATGAATTATTCCCAAGCAGGTTTGTGGACGGATGCGATGCTTCAACGAAACCGAGGCTAATGCAGGTGCGCACACATTTAAATAAATGTAAAAATCAAATGCTTTTGCTGATATATATTTTTCCTTATTATTAAAAAAATATACAAACTAACAAAGTATTTAGTTTATTTTTATCTAGTACAAACTAAGGGCGCACTCTAACTCCGGGGCGGTCACTCAAGATGGCGACGACAGGTGAGTGGGCAGCATGGCCTTGGTTGGCACATGGGAGGTGCCTATTCGTTTATGCCAAATGATCATTTAACGAGGATTTTGTATATTGATTATGTTTGATCTGATCACCATGTAGAATGTATGACAACACGATCATGCAGCTTTTAATAACCACACTAGACGTATGAAGCCAACCATCCTACCCATACGGTGTCACATATGCACATGTCCTAACCTGGCACTATCACAGAGAAGCTTTCACAGGACATTCGATCAACTTCATAATGTCGAGTGTGTAATGATTTTGATAAACTAAATCATCAGATCACTTTCTAAAGTAATAAGTGCGCAAGTGTGACTGCATCGTTCTTATAAATATCTCACAAATTAAGACTCAGTTTTGATGATCACAATCATAGTATTTAGTATTACAATGAAAGATGTATTTATCTGATTGCAGTAACATTTTATTCGAGGTTTGAAAGGTTTGGTTAACTGATTGCGATTATTGGACCTCCTGCTTTTTGTTTCTTGTGCTTGTTTATAGTTCATTGCCTGGTTTATCTGGTACATGCTATGTGTCAAACTGGTGAAGCCATTTGGACAACACTCTTTACGAATATTCATTTGTATTCTTTATAATGGCTTTATTTCTCAACATCATATTTGTTTTTGTTTGTCCAATGTACAAATATACCAAATCCACACCACTGTAATCTGTAAATAGAAATGGCATTATTTCAGTTTATTAGGGCTGAGGAAGGTAATCCTTCCTTGCAGGATTACAAGCTAGGGAGTTGGCTAATTCTAAGAGGTATAAAAAGTAATCAGGTTATCAAGTTCTGTTGTAGTTGGCTAGTACTCAATAATACTAATAACAGCATTATTGATGTTGCTGTTATAAATGCATAATAACCTAATACAAAAGTCAACATTTTAATATATAAATTAGGAAATTTTCATGCTTACAACCTGAATGAAAACTCACTTATATTTGCATCCTAACAAAAAATATGATATTAACGAAAAACAGTATCACACTGTGTTATGTATGTAGTGAGTAAATTTTCATTTCTAAGTGAAACAATTTCTCTACAAAAATGTCTCGCTGGTAATTTATATCTACTTTCGCACATGAACAAAAGTTATAATAAAATGCACTCCTTTGGGATTTTTCTAATGAAGCTAATGCAAATCTGCAGTTTTTAATTTGTCAAGCATTTCATCATGTTCATCAGTCAGACTATCAACTACAAAAGAAATGTGTTATGATTTATATAAGGACACATGAGTTTATTTCCGTCACATGGATTTTGACTCGATAATGATGTCAAGGTCTCCAGAATTAAACTAAAAGAAGATATTTTTTGGAACTCCAAGAATGAAAGGATGTTTCATATCTTTTTCAATTTATTGGCATGTTCTAGCTTTAAATTGTTAGAAACTGGATCAACCATATCAACATTTCAAGTGAAACACATCACATTACCAGATATAGTGTAGAAAACTTAGTCATATGATCTAGTCATAAAAGCAACTGACCATTGACATTTTACTAGCCGTAACCATGTTTTGCTCATACTTTAATTACCAAGTACATCAGCAATGATCAGCCAAGTTCTAAAAGATAAATAGTATGTCTTGATACATGTGTAATGTACTTTGAACATGTTGAAATATTTCCACATCATTTGGACATTGGAGGGTAGATTAATATAAGCAGTAAACCCTAAAATTGATGACAAAAGCCAATAGAATATTTCTAGCCTCGGGCTAACAGGATGATGTAGGTGTCTCACACAGAACAGGTTTTCAGGACATGGGACTCGTGAAAATCCAGGTTAGAATAGGTCTTCAACAACCAATGCCTGATATAAAAGGTGATTATGCTTTGCCGCAAGAGGCGACTGACAGGATCTGGTGGTCAGGCTCGTTGGCTTGGTTGATGCATGTCATCATTGCCAATTGCACAGATGGAGACATGTGAAGATCTGGGGTAGAATAGGTCTTCAGCAAACCATGCTTGTTGTAAAAAGCGACTCTGCTTGTTGTAAGAGGTGACTAACAGGATCGGGTGGTCAGACTCGCTGACTTGGTTGATGCATGTCATTGTATCCCAATTGCATAGATCGATGCTCGTGATGTCAATCACAGGATTGTCTGGTCCTGACTTGGTCATTTACAGACCACCGTCATGTAGCTGGAATATTGCTTAATGTGGCATTAGAACAAGTAAACAAACACCACCCATGTGGGAGACGTGCACAACCTGCATCACTATGTGCATTTGGCAACAGTTGAGCTGAGACTGATGTATCTTAAGTGTTATTTCAGGAAGTGTAAAACAAAACACATTCTTCAAATAATGAAGGAAAATTGCTCAGAAGTAAACATGGTTGGTAGTGGTGTCACGATACGCCTTCCTCACATATAAATACTTATCACAATATTTGAGCTGCCGTATGATACTAATCGCGATATTTAACTTGCATTTTTTTGCTTAACTTTCTTTTTGCCCAGCTAGTAAGAAGTTGTTATCAGCAAGTTTGTATTTAACCCAAGTGACTCTTTAACTTGGACCCATTCTAATGGTATTGCGTAATCAGATTTAGCATTTTATTTTGAGAATGGTGGTAGGGTAACACTTGTCCGAATGGTTGTCAGACAGGGTTATTCTGTCTGTTGCCACATTTACTAAATATCACTTTTTGATAAATGAATTGATGCAGAATTAGAAAATTATGAATGTGGGTAGGCTCAATGTATTGTCATGTGCACCGAAGCCTGATGCTAGTCAAATTTCTTCTAGTCGAGTAACATCAGCATATTGTAGTCCATACACAAGACTAAAATCTTCTGATAATATTGCCCCCAAAAAGTTTGGGATGGTAAACTCAAACATTTGGCACAGACTGCTCTTGCTTCAGACGAGTGGCTGGAATCTCAGACTGTGTGCTCACTCTTGATAAAATATAGAAAACTTTGGATAAAAGATAAAATGAAATACAAGCAGCTGCACATTTTTTTATCCCCCATGTAAATCCCAAATGTTTTTAGGAATTTTGTGATATTTGTGATTTTACAGCTAGTAAGAAGAAACAAAAGAAGCAGAAGGGGAAGACCCTGGCGCTGACCGACTTCCTGGCTGATGACAAGGGAGGGTCGGGACCCGGAACCAGCTATGTGCTGGCCAGCAAGCCCCTGGACTGGGCGTCCGAGATGGAAAACATGGACAATACTGATGGTAAGTGTTCACTGATGAAATGGATTTCAAAATAATTCATCAGTTGGGTCAATATTATTTTTGGCATTCTTTGGTAGAAATCCTTTTTAGATCAGCTGTGATTGAAATTAAGTGGGGTTGAGTTCTTGATGTTTGCTACATTATTTGTATGTTGGGACCAAGTAACGAATATGTTCGCCAGTTTTCAAGCTGCCATCTTGTAAGTCATTCCATTGGTTGGTCAAAGGTCGCGAAAGGTTGGTCTGACGTGACCTGTAATGGGATGTCCTGAGATCTTTGTTCAGCGTTAGCGAGAACTAAGATCTGATTTTAATGAGATTCGGTTGTGAAAAGGACCTCATAAATTTCATAATTATTTTCGAAAAGTGTTTCAGAAGTGGAATGAAATTTGGTACATGTGTAGATATTGGCAAGACTCAACATGTACATGATGTATGTTCTGGGTTATGTCCTGAGCACCAGGACCCATGAAGATCCATTATTTACAGACCAACGTCATTTAGCTGGAATATTGCTGAGTGCAGCATTAAACAACAAACAAACAAGTATGGCTTGGACGATACACCAACTATGTGATCCGATACGTATTACGATACCTTCGTCACCATTCCATACGTATCACGATACTTGCATGTGCTCATATTTGTTGTCCCCAAGCCATATTTTTCATAGGGGGGATAGTAAAATACCTGGCACACTCACCATTTACAGTTGGCAGTGTCAAGTATGGTGCAATGGATAAAAATATTTACCTTTCACTACTAATTAGTGTTTGTGTAACAGCCATTAAAGTAAACATTTAAGGTGTGAATCAATATTTTTTACTTTTGTGAGACTGTGATTGAAACTTGTATTGTGAAGTAAAATATTGCGATACACGGATGCATCAGTGCATCATTCCACCACTATAAACAAGTGTTCTGAATACCATGATGTTAATGCTCTGCTTTATGGACAGATGTGCCAGAAATCGAGTATGGTACGAGATCCCACTTTGACCGCTCTGTCCTCCCAACTGCCCCCAAGGCTGCCCGGGGACCTGATGTGGACATGGAGAAGATTCCAAACAGCCCACCATACACAGCATTCATAGGAAACCTCGCCTATGAAGCTAGTGAGGATAGGATTCATGAATTCTTTAAGAACCAAAAGGTAAGTTGTGTGTTACATTTTGCTTGTCTCGTTTCTTTTTCTATGACATTTAACCATGACGACCTGGATGAAAAATATATTAGGCCACGCTCACAAACAGAATTCTGCTTCCTGAATGGCTGATAGTAGAATGGACGGGGCTTGTTTTCCATTATTGCAATAGGCGATTTCACTGGTTTAGTATTTTATTCTATTGTTTTGGTGATAAAATATACAGTCTGTGAAGTTATTATTATTATTAGAACATGTAGAATGGACTTCAATATGTTTTTGCGTTTGTGGAGATACAAACATGAAAACTGGGGTGTACACCTAGCGTAAATTAGCTATACATAATGTTAATTATTCAGTATACATATCTCCATTCTATTATGATAAATACTCTGGACGAGTTTCCTACCATAGTTGACTGCCTCTGTGATCTAGTGGTAGAGCGTCTGCCCGGAGAGCGGAAGGTACGAGGTACGATCCCCGGCCGCGTCATACCAAAAGACGTTAAAAGATGGCACTTGTTGTTACCCTGTCTGGAGCTCGGCATTTAAGGCCTAAAACAAGGACTGGTCGGCTCAGAGTCAGTATACTGTGTCTGAGTGGGGTATTCATGTTAAACTGCGGCATGGTATCTCAGTGAGCTAGCACTATAAATCGGCATCAGTCCGGACTAGTACAAGCAGCCACACACAAACACATGCATGCACTTCGCTATATAAGTGCAATAATCTTGAACGCGACATTAAACCCAATTTCACCTCACCTCCTACCATAGCTTTGATTAGGAAGTGGTGTTACATCCCCTTTATATAAATACAAACTAACACATCGACAGCGGTTGAGCCAGATTTCCAACCTTAAGAACAATATATCTTACATGTCTTAAGGGCTTGTGATTATGATGTCTACAGCAAAGAGGAATAGGATTGTGGACTTACATGGCTGTTATTCAGAATATGGCTAATCCTTGGGATTTGGCCTTACCACCACTCTGACCCCCAGATTATATCTTGGCTATTTTCATCGTGGAAAGATATCTGTGTTGGCCATGTCTATGAGACTTTAGATGGCTGGGATTTTGTATGGAGATGGGATGTTTTTTCAGCTATATCTTCAAAACCAGATATTTTTTATAGAAAACTATCAGCCTTAATACTATTTGTGAAAAACATATATATATTATTCAAGCATTTTCAGGGACAATATGGGGACACGGGTGGCCCAGTCGTCTAAGGCGCCACGATTCGCTGTGCAGAGTTGCATCCCTTGGGCACGCCAGAAACCTATGATTGTGGGTTCGAATCCCAGTTCGCCCCGATTATGTTTCTAGGTTTGTCAGCACCATACCCATGCTCGTGGGTTTCACCGAAGTGGTAAACGTCTGAAACCTGCATCACTTTGTGCTTTCCTCCCACATTAAGCTGACACGCCGCGATATAACTGTAATAATGTTAAAAGCGGCATTAAACCCAACTCACTCACTCACTCAGGGACAATATATATGTTTACGATAATCTCAGGCCTCCACGCATCTCACCCCTCACCCCCCAAAATATAAAATGGTCAGTTCCTTATAACTTTAGAATGTGTTGGTTGAAATAATATGAAGCCTGTTTGAATGAATGAAAAAATCACTTTAGGATTGGACGGGTTAATCTTAAGATTATGTAAGTGCTGTTTTTGACAACGGGAAAATAATTTGTTTGCTTTGAAATCGTTGATACTTGAACATGGATGTCTGTAACCATGGTAACCAGTACATTGTTCCTTTTAATATTACGTTGATGTCACACTGTCCTCTCACACAGCCCCCTTTGAAATTGCAGGTAGAATAGATCCCCTGCACTTGTGCTTGCTGTAAATGAATCACATTTGGTGACTTGATTGATGGTAGGGGTGTCTAATGGGGCTGTTTTCACTATTGACCACCTCCGTGGTCTAGTGGTAGAGCGTTTGCCTGGAGAGTGGAAGGTCCGGGGTTCTATCCCCGGCCGCGTCATACCAAAAGACGTTAAAAGATGGTACTTGTTGTTACTCTGTCTGGCGCTCGGCATTAAGGGGCTAAAACAAGGACTGGTCGGCCCTGAATCTGTATACTGTGCCTGAGTTGAGTATTCATGTTAAACTGTAGAATGGTATCTCAGTGGGCTAGCACTATAAAATTGGATTAGTCCAGACTAGTACAAGCAGCTACACACATGAGCATTTGGACACAAAGTTAAACCCCATTTCACCCCACTCTATTGAAATAGTGTTGAGATAGTTGTCAACTGTTGCAATAGTATGCAATGTATGTAATTGTATTCAGCCAACTTAAAGGCTTGTTAGTTATGTTAATGATGTAATAGAATTGAATGAAGTGTTGCTGTCAAACTCAATGCTAAGTGAAATATGAAAAGAAAGAAATAACCACATGCATATACTCATGACCAAGTAAAATAGGACACGGGTAGCTCATCCATTGAAGATGCTGCAACATGCTGTGCAGAGTTACGTCCCTTGGGCACATCAGAAACCTATGATCATGGTTTAAAATCCCGGTTCTCTCCGAATATGTTTCTAGGTCTGTAAGCCCCTTACCCGTGTCTGTGGTTTTAGCCAATCTGGTTAATGACCGAGACGTGCATCACCTCAGGCTTTCCTCCCAGATTACGCTGACATGCCGTGATATAACTGGAATACAGTTAAAAGTAGCTTTAAACCCAACTCACTCCCTCGCAGTAAAATAAATTCTAATTGCAGGCCCGGGTAAACATTCGACCAATCAAATGAGTTAACACTTGAAACTGAGGCTTTCATTAAATGTTGTATATCAGAAGACTTCCTGGTAAGGCATTTCCTAGAGACCCGTGAAGATCTGGAATAGAATAGGTCTTCAGCAACCCATGCTTGTCATAAGAGACGACTAATGTGATCGGGTCGTCAAGCTCACTGACTTGGTTGATGCATGTCATCGTATCCCAATTGCTTGGATCAATGTTCATGATGTCAATCACTGGATTGTCTGGTCCTGACTTGATTATTTACAGACCGCCTTCATATAGCAGGAATAATGCAATATATGTCAGTGTGGTGAGTATTATGGAGAGAAGTATTCTGTTTGGACATTTGTACCTTGCACTACAGATGTTTTGAATTTTGATATGATGAAAACAGTTAATCAGATTTCGAAATGGTTTCATTTTCAGTTAGAAAACCGCTTCAAGATTTGTCAAACCTTAACGTCCCTAATGGAAAATGCTATATAGTTGTTGGTTTTTGTTGTTGCTTACTACTCTCATTCTATATTGTAGGTGGCGAACGTGAGGCTGCCCACTGATCAGGGACGTCTACGAGGATTTGGTTATGTCGAATTTGAAGATCGTGAATCTCTTATTGACGCCCTTACATTAAACGACTCAGTAAGTGCTGTTGGCATCCTCCCTATGGGCTTCATATGTATTTTGAAAAATATGTCTATAGTGTAGTCTGCTGGTCCAAGACTACTAAATTGTTCTGAGGGCAAGTAAAAATCCAATGATGGTTGTCTTCATTGATGAGTATCATTTGAAGGCTGTGATTCTGAACCAGTTCTCAACGCTTCAATTTTGCTATTAATTGGAACTGAATAAAATAATGTAAACATATAATGCAATCAGTAATCGGTTTTGTCTCATTCAAGTATGACTAGCTTCAAACTCTGAGGACGATTATAATATAGTTTTCATTAGTCGTGTGGACTAGTCTATAAAAAAACACATAATTTCTAAGGTTATTTTCATTGTAATGTTCATAGTGATTATGTGAGTTTTAGTTACCAAGCTCTCGTTAATAATCTGTTCCCAACTTTTAACAGACTTTTTGTCGTTGACTTGATTATGGGGCTTTGAAAACCCCCTGATAAATCCCTAGTCACAACACCTTTGATGATCTTCAGATCTTTCATTTTGAAATTGTGAAAGAATTCCTGGATTTAACCATGTAAATATATAATGTCATTGCCAGATTCCATTGGGCGTCAAAGGTCAAAAGTGAAAATAATCCATGAGTGATTGAATCACTGAACACCAGGTGTTAACGAGATGTGTTCATCACTGCATCTGCATGATCAGCACATTTTTCAGAAGGATGTGTTTTCATTGTTTTCTGTTTGTATACAGGTATTCGCAGGGAGAAAAATCCGTGTTGACTTGGCAGGACAGAACCAACAAGGTATGCTTTGTCAACATTGGATGATGCTTCTTACCCATGTCATAAAGGATGACCATGCTTGCCGTAAAAGGCAACAATGCTTGTCGTAGGAGGCGACTAACGGGATCGGGTGGTCAGGATCGGGTGGTCAGACTTGCTAACTTGGTTTGATGCAGATCATCTTATCCCAATTGCATAGATTGGTGCTCATGATATCAATCACTGGTTTGTCTGATCCAGACTCGATTATTTAGAGACAACACTCATATGGCTGGAATATTGCTTAGTACAGTGTTTAACAACAAACAAACAAATCTTACATCACAAGGGTGATAAGGCCAATGTATCCACGATGTATGTTCAATGCCGAGGTTGGACGATTTAAGTTCGATGAGAGGGGAATAAGCACTGTTTCCGAGTAGTGCATTATTGTGTTCTTTCATCATGTCTGAGCCCACCTGGTGGATGTAAGTTGGTACCTCCTCTGTGGTAGAAATGGATTCAGTGCTCTAGGCTAACACCCCAGGGGGAGTTTCTTACGTTGTATCATTTCAGTTCATTTAATATATGAACTAGACTTTTCCTTGATGCTGCTTGAATATTGCTAAAAGCAGCCGAAAACCATACTTCTCTCAGTGTGGTATGTATCACTGCTCAGTCAACTAAGTAATCTTACCTGTGAAATTTCATATAAATCAGTAAAAGAGCTTCTGTGGTTTAGTGGGTAGAGCGTCTGCCCAGTGAGCAATATGGTTCAATGCTATGGCCACATCGTACCAGTATATTAAAAGATGGTACTTGGTAGTAGGGTATCCATGTTAAACTGTGGCATAGCAAATCAGTAGGCTAGCACCATCAACAGGCATGTGTCCGGACTAATGCAAGCAGACATGCAAAGGCACACACATGCATGCACAGACACACACATGCATGCACAGACACACACATGCATGCACAGACACACATTCATGCACATTGCTATATATGAGAATACTCTTAAATGTGTTCTTAAACCCATTTCCCCACACCTCATATATTTAACACAGAATCTATACATTGTAATATAGCGGGGCACCTGTTTGTATGTAAAATAGGTAGGCTTCAGGTTACACATTCCTCTATGATGTACATATAAACTATGGTGCTACTTGTTCAGGAAATGAACGTGGAGGAATGGGAGGCAGTGGCTCTGACTATCGCAGATCAGCTGACGAGCCTGACCGCACTGACTCCAATTGGAGAAGAAGAGAGCCAGGCAGTGCCCCTGGTAAGTATTGCTAGTTAATACTCTATCAATTTGGTTTTGTCTTTGAGCATATACTTTAGTTTACTTTGTTTAATTTGTGGTTTAATTAGGAGATAAACATACTGTGTTTTCAATGTAGAGCTAGGTTACCTGTAGATTTAACCACGCTAAATTGAATTTGGAACCGAACGCGCAGCGTGATGTTTCAAATGTTAAATTTAGCGCGGTTAAATTTACAGGTAACCTAGCTCTACATTGAAGACACAGTATGTTTATCTCCATTCTACCATGACTAAATAAAACGCGAACTCTTTGGTGTTAGCAAATATACTGAGTGAAGCGGCATGGGTTGAGTCCAGTGTTTTGAGTGGGTTATCAATCTGAATTACGGAATCACCGAACAAAATATGGCGCTGTATATACTCAAGCACATTGTTTTCATCGTAATACTTCACTCGAACATATGACAGGCATTGAAAGCATATAAGCACGGCAACTTGGTAAGTCAAACCAGCTGTTTCAATCAGAAGGGGTTTATTGTGATTTAATAGCCTCTGATTGACCAATCAGAATCGAGTAAATTCCAAATTCATGGTAGAATTGTGGTTATCCTTAGTCTGTTGTATCTACATATGCAGAGAGTGAACCTGTTGTCCTTGACCCTTTTTCTTTGAAAAAAGTAAGAAATCCTTTCTTCTACCATTTATTCGATGAGGCTCCTGCTGCCCTTGTCAGGGGCCTCTATATATAACAGGGATCAAATCTTTCATCACTAGGATGTTTAGGCCATTGTTTCAGCTGGTTTTTCTTTGCATCCACTAATGTTGTTCAATGCCGAGGTTGGACGATGTAAGTTAGATGAGAGGGGAATAAGCCCTGATTGCGGGTAGTGCATTATTGTGTTCTTGCATCATGTCTGAGCCCACCTGGTGGAAGTAAGATGGCGCCTCAGACAAAACTGCTGTGGGGATTCAGAGCGAGAAAAGGTCTCTACAGAGCTCCAGATAAGCTGCGTATCTACGTAAAATACGCATCAGAAATGCAGAAATATGCAGTAAAATAAAATCCAAGCGTATCAAATACGCAACGAACATTACAGATACGCTACAAAAATAAAACTTGTGCGTATCATCAAAATATTGTGAAGTAACCCTGCATATTCAATTAGCAAATCAGCAACTTATTTTGAAATTATAAACGGGCATTCCGTCAACCTTGCCAAATTCCACGATGACAGTTACATCATGATCATTTGCCATCACACTTTCTTGTGGAAGTATCGTGGTATTTTTGAGTCCTATAAAGCTCTCGAACCCACACGACACCAGTTTGCAGGGCCTAGACGAATAGTGTTTTTAAATTTTTAACTTAAATACCCACATGTGTAAAAACTAGTGGGTAACAGAAATTTGAATACCCGGATAGAATTACTGATACCCAATGATTTTAAAATGCATGGGTAAAATACCCACAACACCAAAAGCTTATCTGGAGCTCTGTCTCTAGTAATAGTATCCCATGCTTGTTGCAAGTCAGTAGGGCTGGCTAAAAAGATCGATAATTGGAATTATCATTTATGTGAAGAAATATTAACGATTATTGATATGAAAATTTTGTCCCCAATAATATCTTACATGCACTATTGTGATGAAATGAAGTTTAGATAACCAAAACAGACTTGTTATTGTCAGTCATGTCCATTGCCGATTGGAACATGTGGAAAGCAACTGTTTTTGTTTTACCTTAAATGTCCACAAAGTAATCCATCACTCACCAGTGTGGATGATATATGTTGATTTCTTGTTTGATTTCTATGTTGACTTGTTTTTGCATATTTGCTCAATGTTACAACTCTGATATTTATTGATAATTGATTGATATTTAGTTAACGATTATTGATCTGTATGATCTACCGTATTCGACGTAATAAGCGCCCAAGGCGCTCTCACAATTAGAAATAGGGGGCTCTTATTAGAATATTATTTTGGTGAAAAAATCAGAGTTGAAAGATAAATTTTGTGGTTTATGCTGACAGCCGGAAGTGTTTATGTACGACAGATATATTTTTCCAGAATTTAATTGCCCATAATTAAGGGTGCATATAACACACGAGTGTGTATTATATATGAATAAATTAGTCTTGTGTACATTGATCAATTGGAAGGGGTGCTAATTTGGATTGTTCACTAGCAAATATATTAGCAAATGTCGCCGTGGGCGCTTATTAGAGCGAGGCGCCTATTACGTCGAATACGGTATATCAATAGCCAGCCCTTGAAGTCAGACAGTTAAGTCTGTGTCATTGTCATTTGTTTGGGTAATTGCTTACACTATCAGGCATTGGTTTGCCTGACCGAGATAATGTTACTGATTCACATTATATGTATAGGAAATGACTGACTACACGATAAGATTTGGTGATTGTGAATGATTTCTTGCTTTATTGTTTGCAAAGTTGCCGATTTGAACGCATCCTGAACATTACCATTGTGATTTTAGAACGCCCAGCTTTTGACCGCGGAGGTGATCGTGATGGTGGTCGTGGATTTAGTGGCCGTGACGGGGGAAGATTCGGTGATCGATATGGAGATAGGGACGGTGGTCGATCTTTCGACAGAGATGGTGGTCGTTCATTCGGCGACAGAGATGGTGGTCGTTCTTTTGGCGGTGACAGAGATGGTGGTCGTTCTTTTGGCGGTGACAGAGATGGTGGTCGTTCTTTTGGCGGCGACAGAGATGGTGGTCGTTCTTTTGGCGGGGACAGAGATGGTGGTCGTTCTTTTGGCGGGGACAGAGATGGTGGTCGTTCTTTTGGCGGCGACAGAGATGGTGGTCGTTCTTTTGGCGGCGACAGGGACGGTGGCGGCGGTGGACGCTTCGGGGACAGGGATGGTGGTGGACGGTTCAGTGACCGATACGGAGATAGGGATGGGGATAGGTACGGAGGCAGGAGCCGTGGCTTCTCAGATCGGGATGGTGGTAGACGGGGATTTGGTAGCGGGTTCCAATCCAGGGAAGACGGTGGAGGCGGAGGCGGAGGATTCAGCGATAGATACGGATCAAGAGGGTAAGTTGTTATCAGTTTGCATTGTTACTTCAGTCAGGATATCAAGATCCACAAAGTAGCAACTGAGGCGTTTTTTCTTAAAACAATACTTTTGATTAAAACTGTGAAAAATAATCCAACGGTGTTCAAAATATGGTTATTTTCATGGCATTGTGTGATTTTTAATGTATATAAATGGAGGCAAGAAGTAAAACAAAATTCATTGGACGAGCGGTAGTCCAAGATACTCGTAGTTATAAATGTGAACAATTATTGATCTGAAGGGTGTTGAGTACTTGATATTCACTCACATTTCTTGAGGCCTTATTGTTTTGGTGATACTCCCACACCAGCAACAGAAATCTTGATGCCATAACTATTTCTTTCTGCTCGATACATGTCTGTATTTTGCATTCTAGGGGGGACAGACCCAGCAGTAGAGACACTAGTCAAGGTAAGATGATGAACACACAGGCTGGCATATGACATAGCTATGGTTTCTGTTATAAGTTGGACACCATTTTTGTCGAGTCCTGTGAAGATTCAGGTTTAGAATTGGTCTTCAACAACCCATGCATGTCATTAGAGGCTACTAATAGGATCAGGTTGTCAGATCAGTAGTTATGATGTCAATCACTGGATTGTTTGGACCAGACATGATTATTTATAGGCCGAACACCATCATATACCAGGAACACTAATTGGACAAAAATGCCTTAAAAAATTAGAATACTAACAAGTGTGTCATCTGTCATCCAATATTGGCACCCCCCTCAGAAATCAGTGATCAAAATGTTTCTTATGCCTGTAACAAAAATCTCATCCCCCTGAATAGCAAATGGTGTTGCATACTGACTTTTAAAGTGAAATGTTTCTCTCAGAGGCCCCCAAGGAGAGGCCCAGACTCCAGCTTCAGCCAAGGTCAAAGCCCTCAGATGGTACTGGCGCTGAAGAAAGAAAATCCTCAATTTTTGGCTCGGCAAAACCAGTTGACACATCTGCTCGTGAACGCGAGATTGAGGATCGCCTTCAACGTGAACGTCAGATGATATCACACAGATACGATGACGAGAAAGAAAACAGGAATTACGATAATCGGTGAGACTTGTGTAGTACAGGGATAGAAGGGTATAGAGTTGTGTCCTAAGTGATGTTCCACACGATCATGGCTCTAAACTGCTCTGATGTTGATCCTTTAACTGTGGGCACCGTTTTTGTGTTTTTTTCCAAAGTAGTAAACAAACATGTATCAGTGTTTCCTCCCACAGTCGCCTGACGCTCTGTGGCACATCTGAGTGAGTGAGTTGGGTTTAAGGCCGCTTTTAACAGTATTCCAGTTATATCGCGGAGTGTCAGCTTAATGTGGGAGGAGAGCCCGAAGTGATGCAGGTCTCAGACCTTTACCACTTCGGTGTAACCCACGAGCACAGGTATGGTGCTGACAAACCTAGAAACATAATTGGCACAAATCGGGATTCGAACACACAATCATAGGTTTCTGGCGTGCCCAAGGGACGCAACTCTGCACAGCGAATCGCAGTGTCTTAGACGATTGGGCCACCCATGCCCCTGTGGCACATCTGAGAGAAGGTAGACTCATTTATTGAAAGGTCACATGGGGGGTTCTGGGTTAGAATTGATCACGAGCGCCCTATGCTGGTCATCAGAGCAGACCAGGGGGCACGGGTGGCCCAGTCGTCTAAGGCGCCGCGGGTTCGAATCCCGGTTCGCCACGATTATGTTTCTAGGTTTGTCAGCACCATACCAGTGCTCTTGGGTTTCACCGAAGTGGTAAACGTCTGAGACCTGCATCACTTCGGGCTTTCCTCCCACATTAAGCTGACACGCCGTGATATAACTGGAATAATGTTAAAAGCGGCGTTAAACCCAACTCACTCACTCACAAGAGCAGACCAATGGATCAATGTCCAGGCTCGGTGACTTGGTTGATTGTGTGTCATTGTATCCTGATGGCATTGATTGCCTGATGCGATTAATTACAGGCCACTGTCATATAGCTGGAATATTGCTAAGAGCAGTGTTAAACAAAAAACAAGCAATCTTTGAGACAAAAGTAATCCACTCATTCTGAAAATACTGATGCCAGTAAACAGTTTAAGGGGATGCTCAGTCGTCAAAATAAGGCTTGCCCTGGAATACTTATATTGGATGCAAAGGTGTGGCTTATTTTGTAAGCCCATTTGGTACCTATATATAGGACCTATATGGGATGCCAAGGGGGCACTTGAAGAGTAGGCCTACGGAACATCTATGGGATGCCAAGGGGGCACTTGAAGGGTAGGCCTACGGAACATCTATGGGATGCCAAGGGGGCACTTGAAGGGTAGGCCTACGGAACATCTATGGGATGCCAAGGGGGCACTTGAAGGGTAGGCCTACGGAACATCTATGGGATGCCAAGGGGGCACTTGAAGGGTAGGCCTACGGAACATCTATGGGATGCCAAGGGGGCACTTTAAGGGTAGGCCTACGGAACATCTGTGGGATGCCAAGGGGGCACTTGAAGGGTTGAACTACAGAACTTTAACAAGGGATGCCAAGGGGGCACTTGAAGGGTAGGACTACAGAACTTTAACATGGGATGGCAAGGGGGCACTTGAAGGGTAGGACTACAGAACTTTAACATGGGATGCCAAGGGGGGCACTTGAAGGGTAGGACTACAGAACTTTAACAAGGGATGCCAAGGGGGCACTTGAAGGGTAGGACTACAGAACTTTAACATGGGATGCCAAGGGGGCACTTGAAGGGTTGAACTACAGAACTTTAACAAGGGATGCCAAGGGGGCACTTGAAGGGTAGGACTACAGAACTTTAACATGGGATGCCAAGGGGGCACTTGAAGGGTTGAACTACAGAACTTTAACAAGGGATGCCAAGGGGGCACTTGAAGGGTAGGACTACAGAACTTTAACATGGGATGCCAAGGGGGCACTTGAAGGGTAGGACTACGGAACATCTATGGGATGCCAAGGGGGCACTTGAAGGGTTGAACTACAGAACTTTAACATGGGATGCCAAGGGGGCACTTGAAGGGTAGGACTACAGAACTTTAACATGGGATGCCAAGGGGGCACTTGAAGGGTAGGACTACAGAACTTTAACATGGGATGCCAAGGGGGCACTTGAAGGGTAGGCCTACGGAACATCTATGGGATGCCAAGGGGGCACTTGAAGGGTAGGCCTACGGAACATCTATGGGATGCCAAGGGGGCACTTGAAGGGTAGGCCTACGGAACATCTATGGGATGCCAAGGGGACCCTTGAAGGGTAGGACTACAGAACTTTAACATGGGATGCCAAGGGGGCACTTGAAGGGTAGGACTACAGAACTTTAACATGGGATGCCAAGGGGGCACTTGAAGGGTAGGACTACAGAACTTTAACATGGGATGCCAAGGGGGCACTTGAAGGGTTGAACTACAGAACTTTAACATGGGATGCCAAGGGGACCCTTGAAGGGTAGGACTACAGAACTTTAACAAGGGATGCCAAGGGGACCCTTGAAGGGTAGGACTACAGAACTTTAACATGGGATGCCAAGGGGACCCTTGAAGGGTAGGACTACAGAACTTTAACATGGGATGCCAAGGGGGCACTTGAAGGGTAGGACTACAGAACTTTAACATGGGATGCCAAGGGGACCCTTGAAGGGTAGGACTACAGAACTTTAACATGGGATGCCAAGGGGGCACTTGAAGGGTAGGACTACAGAACTTTAACATGGGATGCCAAGGGGGGCACTTGAAGGGTAGGACTACAGAACTTTAACATGGGATGCCAAGGGGGCACTTGAAGGGTAGGACTACAGAACTTTAACATGGGATGCCAAGGGGGCACTTGAAGGGTTGAACTACAGAACTTTAACAAGGGATGCCAAGGGGGCACTTGAAGGGTTGAACTACAGAACTTAAACATGGGATGCAAAAGGGGCATTTGAAGGGTAAGCATACTGGGGGGAATAGGGCAAGGTTTGTGAGCGCCTCTGTCGGATGACATTGGCACTGGCATGCTCTGGGCACACACATGGAGGATGCCATGGGCAATTTAGTAGGTTGCCAGATATGGGGCCTGCAATTCTTTGTGTATGATATTTACAAGTTTTCTCTTCCAGACCTACAGGAAGTCGGACTCGGCGAGACAGTGACCGTTCTGACGGAGGTAGTAAACGTGAAAGACGTCTTAGTAGCAGCTCTGGGAAAGGAGTCCGACCAGGTATAGTTTGTTCCAACCACCTGAGAGAGACCTACTTGTGGTACTAGGGGAACATGTCAACCAGTAACACATTCAACAAGGGTACTCAACATCTCAGCTGGGATACAACTGTTGAGAGAAACATTAGGGACTTGTCATTTATTATGGGGGGAGAGGAGAGGGGGACGTCTTGAAAAAGATGACACCATGAAAGAGCGGGGTTTGGATGGTTGAGGGGCACGATAAAATTACAGTTCTTTTTTTCCCCTTTTTTTTTTTTTTTTGTTCATTATAAAATTTGAACATGATTTAGGGACTGGTCATTAATTGGAGGTGGGAAGGGGGGATATAAAAATGTTAGGTAAGTTGGGGTGTGTCAGCAGACATTAATGACTTCATTGTACTAGTAGGATGCATGTTAAGAATATATATGGCAAGGTTCGTACAGGCTTGAAAGGTCTCTTGAAAAGCCTTGATTTTTAGTGTCAACCTTTTATAAAAAAAAAAGCCTTTGAAATTAACAAACTACCTTGAAAAGCCTTGAATTTGTGCAAAGTGAAATAAAGTGATATATATACATATGCAATCTATTTGGGAAAAGGCTTCAGTGATTGATCTTTAAAAAAACTTTTGATGGGGACCTTGGTCACCATAGCAACTGTTGTCTTGGTTACTGTGTCTGGTTTGACAGGTTCCCCTATGTTAAGTGTGCTTCTGTTAGTTTCTTGCTTTACCTTCTTCAAGTGGTCTTTTTTAATCAGAGTGTACGTTTGGTTTCCCTCGGAGAATTGGAACAATCTATAGCGAACCCGTGACCTACCTACCAGTGTGGCAATGGCTGCCGTCAAAATAACTCGCTTATATCACCAAGGGCTTGTATTCACACTGTTATTCACCGTGTTTTGTTTTTTAACACCTGAATGCTATATTATGTCCTTGTAACACCCTGTATGTGGTTCATGTCTTTAACCTTTGAATGCTGGTTATGTCGTTGTTATAGTTGTGCTAACATCGGTGTGTGTGTTGAAAAAAAGCGATCTCACAAAAATCTGATCTTTACTCTGATACGATGGGCCTCTGAATGAAGGTTTGACAACACCTGCTTAGGTCATGTCAGGTGAACCCTTGGTGACCTTGACCCGCTCAATTTAAATATAGGATACATGGGTCATGGATCAGATGTCAACTTTTTAAAGTGATGCAACATTTCTTACTCCCTAAATTTGAAAATATTGATCTTCAGAAAGAAAAAGCCCCAGAGAACACAAATAATACTCTTTTGGTTGTATGCCATGGCACTCAAATAATATGATGTATAAACTACCCACAACAATATGATGGCATAACTTTATTTTAACATTTGGAACTCCCCAGTTATATTCGTTTTCGAGATACAGAAATAAGATATGATTGTCTGAATGCTTTGCATTGACAAAAAGAGATTGAGTTGCATATGTATTGGTTTAGGTAACATTACTGACAAGATAGATGATTGTATATGAAGTGATTTGGTTAATGCAGCATTGACAAACGATGTGTGTGTATTGTTGTCTTGTGGCTGTATGTGTTCACTGTGATTGCATGTTTATTCTGGCACCACTTCATACACTTGAGCAGAAGATGGTGACTGGTAATACGGTATTGAGATGAGGTTTGAAGGAAAGTGTTTGTGATTTGACCGTCATTGTCAATACTTCACAGGTTTTGTATACACTATGTTCCCCGATCATCCGTGAATATATTGGACTTCTCTGTGGTGTAGTAGTGACGTGTGTCTATCTTTTATTCAACTTAAGGTTTGGTTTGGTTTGTTGTTTTATGCCGCACTCAGCAATATTCCAGACATATGATGGCGGTCTGTAAAATAATCGAGTCTGGACCAGACAATCCAGTGATTGATATCATGAGCATTGATCCATGCAGTTGGGATTGATGATCTGCATCAACCAAGTCAGCGAGCCTGACCACCCGATCCCGTTAGTCGCCTTTTACAAGCATAGTCGCCTTTTATGGCAAGCATGGGTTGCTGAAGACCTATTCTACCCGGATCTTCACGGGTCTATTCAATTAAAGAAACACGGCCTGAGTCGTGGAAGTCAGATGAGCCCTTTGTGCGAGCCCTACCATTGCCTGACATTGAAGCAGTATGCAGAGTAGATGGCTGTATGGCTATGCACATGATTTACTAGAAATATTGCCGTTTATGCCAGTGTTCAAAATAAGCAACTGCCCATAGGCCTGTGGCAAGTAGATGTCATTTTTGGCCTGTAGTCTCAAAGTTACTTGTTTGTTGTTAAACGCCGCACTCAGCAATATTCCATCTTTATGATGCGGATCTGTAAATAATTGAGTCTGTACCAAACAGTCCAGTGATAGATCATGAGTATCAAAATGCGCAATTGGAATACGATGACATGCATCAAAGTTGTATGGGTCCTTATGGCCTGCAGTAAATTTACGTGTTGATATATATTGGTCACAATAAGTTGCAGGGTTTTATTTTAATGAGGGCCTGAAGAGTTTAGTCAGGGCCTGCAGCTTCTGAAGTCTATGGGCGCTGATATCAGCAAGGCCATTTTTTTTATTTCGAACACTGGTTTATGCGATGTAATCGGAGAATTTATACTTCCCTTTGGCTGGAACAAGGCCATTGCACGTTTCTTTGGTCAAAAATAGTGACTTCACTGCAAGCAAGCGTGTACGTTCACGGATAAAGGAGGTATGTTGTGTATACAATCCTGTGAAGTATTGGCAATGTTTGACTGTAGAACTAACTGCATGAATAGTCCCTCCTGGTTTAACATGTTACAATTTTATTAGACAAGTACCGTGTTTGACGTAATAAGTGCCCAGGGCGCTCTCAAAATTAGAAATAGGGGGCTCTTATTAGAAAATAATTTTGGTGGAAAAAACAGAGTTGAAAGATAAATTTAGTGGTTTATGCTGACGGTTTGAACTGTTTATATACGACAGATATATTTTTCCAGAATTTAATTGCCCATAATTAAGGGTGCATATAACACACGAGTGCGTATTATACGCAAATAAATAAGTCTTGTGTACATTGATCAATTGGAAGGGGTGCTAATTGGGATTGTTCACTTGCCAATATATATGCAAATATCGCCATGGGTGCTTATTAGAGCGGGGCGCTTATTACGTCAAATACGCTAAGTCCAGTACGTTTCAGCTTTATTTCTCATGTATGTAATCAGCTGGTAAATGTTAATATTGTTCTTGAAATATTATCAAATTAGCAAAATATGTATCTTCACAGATAAGTATAGACCTTACAAGATTGATAAACACACATTATTTATGTTTGTAGTTGCATTTCTTGTAAGAAATAATTATGGCAAGTGAGATAAAGTCTGTGTCACTGAAATGTCTTGCACTAAATGTTGCTCTTCTTTGTGCATCTGTGTTCAGATTTAATCCAAATTGTTTCCTAACCTGTCATTCTGAAATGTGTCTCTGGTTGCCATAACAACGTCCATATCCCCTTCAGGGCCCCCACCAGTTACAAGCCAGCGGTCTCGCCGCGATAGCGAGCTGTCCAATCATTCTGACGTCTTCAACGACGACAAGGAGGAACCCAAGCCAGCAACGTCGCCGAAGAAGGAGGATTCCTCCAAACTGGTAGATGCACCTCCGCCGAAGGAGAACGCCTGGTCCAGGAGGCCCCCATCATCCCAGTCGTCAGAACCCAGGTCACCTACTTCATCAGATGTAAGTCTCAAATACTGCTGACCTGCACTGTGAGGATTCTAGTTTACAACTGATTCCGGGGGCGCGGGTGACCCAGTGGTCTAAGGCGCTGCGATTCGCTGTGCAGAGTTATGTCCCTTGGGCACGCTAGAAACCTATGATAGGGGGATCGAATCCCAGTTCGCCCTAATTATGTTTCTAGGTTTGTCAGCACCATACCCGTGCTTGTGGGTTTCACCAAAGTGGTAAACGTCTGAGACCTGTATCACTTCAGGCTTTCCTCCCACATTAAGCTGACATGCCACGATATAACGGGAATACTGTTAAAAGCGGTGTTAAACCCAACTCACTCACTCACTCACTCACTCACTCACTCACTCACTCACTCACTCACTCACTCACTACAGCTGTGAAGAAAAGGCTTGGGTGGAGGGTGGTCATGTGGTTCAAGTGTTTCACAGTCAAACTGCAAACCTAAGTTCAAATTCAACATGTGGGTCAAATGTTTGAAGCCAATGCTTGTTTTCCTTAGGCATGGCTATTTGGGATATTTGTTAAGGGTGGCATAAATAATTGCCACATTATTATTATCTGTCACCATGGTTACCATAAATAAACAGTCAACAGTAGTATTGTTGGGATATAATAAACGTGGCATGAAACATTGTCACATTATTTATGTGTCACCATGGTTACTGTTAGTCCATAACAACTATAATCATATGGGGATTCTATGGCACAATATGTGTTGATATTGTGTATTGTTGCCCATGCTGTCAGTTTCTGGTCTGCCTTGTCCTGACTCAATTATATACAGACAGCCATGCTGATGATGGAATATTGCTCACAATATTGGCAGCAGTCACCTCCCTTTGCACGCTGCGTTGTTATAAATGTGTAGTTATTTCTAACATTTAGAACAGCAGAAAATTATATAGGCAACATATGTGATAATATATTTTTTTAGATATTTTGTTATTAAATGTATGATGTCTGTGATTGATTGTTTGATTTCCAGCCGGGAACATCTCCAACCTCAAACCAGTGGGGTAAAGGTCGCCCTGAACAGCGACAAGATAACGCCTCTCGTGACAGTGCCTGGGGTAAAAGGCAGGACAGGGACTCGGACAACAGAGGTGAGAAACGCTGGACTTCATATTTCATTTCTTGAAGCTCTAGATGGAAAATTGATATCTTTTAAGAAACTTGATACTGATAGCAACAAAAGTAATTTCACTTGAATAATTATGCATGTCTTCAGTCATTAAGCCAGGAAGATCAAGGTTAGAATTGGTCTTCAGCAATCCATCCTTGTCGTTTGAGACGACTAACAGGATTGGCTGGTCAGACTCGCTGACTTTTTCTTGCATGGCATTGATCCCAATTGTGTAGATCGATGTCAAACACTGGCTTGTCAGGGCCGGACCCGATTATTTACAGACTGTCTTCATATAGCCGGAATATTGCTTTGTGCTGCACTAAACGAACAAAACTAAGGCAGTCGAACTGTGTAAAACAAAAGTTAACGTGATATTAGTTAGCATTCTGCTATTGATTCTGTGTCAATGTTGTCCTGTCACAAGAAACTTCCTTACAGCTACTGTGTCACCATGGTTACCGGGAGGTAGCATTCAACAGCTGGTCCTCACACCCTTTTTAAACTTTTGTTGAGTGTTTTACTTCCACAAAGGATGACTCATGGCATCCTACCGAGGCAAGGGAGTTGACTTTAGAAGTCCAGTTCTCACCCTTGCCGAGCTTGGCTGGAATTTCGTGGCTTGATCATAGTGCCACCAGTTTCTATTACAAGTTATGTCCCTTCTATGCCCTTCCTATTGACCAATCAGATTCCACCTCTCAGATCACTTGCATTTGCTTCATACAAGATGGCAGCACCCAGTCAAGACGATCTGATAGATAATCAAGATATTTCTTGTAATAAAACAGGTCTTACCTCGCAAAGTGCATGAAATCACTTGAGCTGTGAAATATCTGTTGTCGCCCAGTTGACGGTACATGTGCCCTGCAAATCCTGCCTTCGACTGAAATCATCACTTCAGGCGCCATGTTGTTTTTTAACGGGATGTTGACTTCGTTACACGATTTTGATTGGACTCTTTAGTCCAAGCAAAATATTACTCCATAGTTCCACCCCAGTTACGCAAGTGTGGTAACTAGACTTTTACAGTTACCTCCCTTGCCTTAGGAAGAAATCACCATCATTTGATTCTTTGGTATTCCTACTGTGAAATGTGATTTATCTTCCAGAACCATCTTAATCATTTATAGAATATATGTAAATTTAATAAAACAAATTTGGCAGTTGCTTATTTAATTATATTATTAGCATAATATTGGTCTGTCAGCACAATTCCATTGGTCGTCAGTTTCACCAAAGTGGTAAGCCGTGATATAATTGAAATCTGTTCAAAGTGTCATAAATCCTCACTCACTCACTCACTTAGCTCACCAGCACCGAAGGCCAGATGAGTTATGCCATGGCACAGTTGTCCGTCGTTGAAAACTCAGGTTGAGATTGTTTTTGAAATTGCTTTCTGACTTTCAATATGACCACCATGCCAGAAAGCAAGATGAAAATTAAATCAAATCTTATACTATTTACTGCGGCTCAGTGCATAAGGGGAAATATCTCCTCCTTGAACGTGTCATAAAGTTCTCTTTCTCCACCAGAGACTAAATTAGAAGAGTTGTCTCCCTTTTTCCAATCTCATGACCTGATGGTGTGGTGTTTGTGTCCCAGATACTTCCTGATTGTGATCTTTGGTTTGTCAGCACCTTGACTCTGCTTGTTTCACCATACCCATGCTGGTGGGTTTCACCTTACCCATGCTGGTGGCTTGCACCAGACCCACGCTACTGGCTTGCACCAGACCCACGCTGCTGGCTTGCACCAGACCCAGGCTGCTGGCTTGCACCAGACCCACGCTACTGGCTTGCACCAGACCCACGCTACTGGCTTGCACCAGACCCACGCTGCTGGCTTGCACCAGACCCAGGCTGCTGGCTTGCACCAGACCCACGCTGCTGGCTTGCACCAGACCCACGCTGCTGGCTTGCACCAGACCCAGGCTGCTGGCTTGCACCAGACCCAGGCTGCTGGCTTGCACCAGACCCATGCTGGTGGGTTTCACCAGACCCATGCTGCTGGCTTGCACCAGACCCATGCTGGTGGCTTGCACCATACCCACGCTGGTGGGTTTCACCAAAGTGGTAAATGTCTACAACCTGTGTCAGTTTGGGCTGTCTATGAGAACAATGAGATGTGCTTCCTGGATCAGAGAGTCTGATCATTGCTTGCACATTTGAGTGTTCAACACAACTGAATGAATTAAGAAAGAGACCTAAAATGACATCTGTTAATTGAGCTACAGTGCTGTGGAACTATTCTTTAATACCGTAGTCACCATATTAATTGCCCTGCTCCAAAAAGCTCCCCTTGACCACTTCTTGACCAATCTGTAAGTAATCTTTTATAAGATTGAACATTTACATGACAGTCAATATGTTCTTGTGTAGTCTTTTGTATATTACACTTTTGATGTATATAGAGAATCTCACCCGAGTGTCTTTTGATACGAGGGTGAGATTTTATTTATCATCCAACATCATTCTTCCAACTTTTTCAGTTTGTTGACAGTAATAAGCAGTGTCTAAAGTGTAAAGTGTACTGCTAACAGCTTCAGTAGCAGAGCCATAAGTGATGTCATTTGAATGTGACATCACAATGGTCTGCAAAGCATTGTAATACAATGTCATTGCAGCGATATCTACAGTGTAGATATCGCTTGATCTCACCCAAGCGATATCTCCTGTGGGAGCCAGTTTTGGATGATAAATGATATTTTGATATTTTTATAAATGCCAAGTAAATATATTATCAAAAAGTTTTCGTTTGATCAACATTTGAACTAAATTTGTTCTCTACCACACGATCTTGGGAGGTTTTTTATAACTCATCGCATATAGTTTTAATAAGCTCCCCTAAGCACCTGGAGCGTTTATTACAGTGAATAATATTTCTTAGGCTGCAACAGTCACAGAATCTATGCTGTTATTCATTGTTTCAGTCCATGAAAAAACACCATACCTCCCATGTAGAACAAAGAAAAATGTTTTTTATGCAAACTAAATAATGAAATCAATTTGTGACAAACTACATTTGTCTTTGCAACTGTTTGTATGTAGCTCACATTGGTTGAATTTGACAGGATGCACACTGCATTTCTCTTCAGCTTCAGAAGGCATAGGTCCTAGTTCAGTAGGGTGAAGTCTCAGAATACTGTTGTTCTGTTGACAGGGCCGGGTTATTCGGACAGGGGGCGTGGCCGAGGTCGAGGAATGGGCCGAGGTGGTGAAAGGGGGCGTGGCTCCGATAAAAAGTCAGTCCATGTGCTTTGATCAGTAGACATGACTGAGTGCTCTCTTTGCTTATTCTTTGTACTCTTAACAGGTCGACCAAGTCTAGATGAAGTTCACATGTATTTCACCAGATATGGTACCATGGCAACAGACAAAAAAATCATTCTTTTTATCACATTCTTTTTATGTCATATGGATAGATATATTATATTATTTGCTGTAATAAATAAATTCAAGGCAGGTACTAGTTCTGTGAACAAAGTAATTTGTGACATGAAAGAAGTCTTACACACAAAAATAAGTTTTTGGTTGGAAATAAATTTGATTAAAAAAATTAAAAAATTAAAATAATGATTTAGCTGAAATATGGAATGTAAGACACTGTCACAAATATCACATATGATCATGTGTATGAATACAGTCATGGTGCTTGATGCATGGTGGCTAACCTTGACAACAGTCGAGCTCCTCAAATAAGTCTACACTTGGTGTGCCTGTTGCTGCTTCATTTCACGTAGATGTTGAGAGTTGAGTTCCAGGGTATAAGCTCTGGTCTTCCAACTGACTGCTTCCCACAGAATATTGGTCAGTTACAATCAACAGTAAGCATGTACAACCTAGCTGGTTCCCTTAAGCATTGGTACTTGGTAAAAATCCATGTGAAGATCCAGGGTAGAAAAAGGTCTTCAGCAACCCATGCTTGCCGTAAAAGGCGACTATGCTTGCCGTAAGAGTCGACTAACAGGATCGGGTGGTCAGACTCGCTGACTTGGTTGATGCATTTCATCGTATCCCAATTGCGTGGATTGATGGTTATGACATCAATCACTGGATTGTCTGGTCCAGACTCAAATATTTACAGACCGCTGTCATATAGCTGGAATATTGCTGAGTGCGGCGTTAAACAACAAACAAACAAACAAAATGATGACCTGTCAACCATTCAGTAGATTTTTATTTACGCTCTGTAACTTTAAAACATTCGTTAGAATATCCAGTAGCAATAACCATTCAGGGATTTATCTAGACATGCTCAGAGGCTTATATTTGGCCCAAACTCTGCAGCTTTTGTCAGTACAAATTTCCAAAATTGAACTGAAAATTTCTCAATTCATTTTGTTTGTAACTAACGTTATTTCTTTGTACAGGTGATTTGTATTTTGCTGATAAAAAGTCTGATAAGGAGGTAGAGGTTTTAATGCTTAGTTTTACATTATTGCGTTGATCGCAGTGTTAAAATACATGATTCTGAGAAAATAGAAGCCTTCAGAAATATACCAGTTTGAACAAGATGTTTTGTCCCAACGTAGCTGACAAGGCATGTGTTTTACAAGACCTTCAAGATTTGACTATTTTTGAACGAAAAGTACCCTTCACATACCTCAACCGTTGATGATAATTGACTTTTCTAATTTTAAGTAATTGATATCAAAATATAAACAGTCTTTGAATGCATCCCCACTTCCAATGTTGTTGCAAGGAATATTCTGGAGGATCACGTTGTAATCATGGAAATGACGCTGAGCTTATACCCTGTTGTATTACTTTCTTACTTTCTTTACATTTATCAGAATTATTTTTCTTACATTTTTTATTCAGACAAATTTGTTTTAATGAGGTGTTGTTCTTTTCACCATTTGTTTTTTTCATTCATACTTTCTTGACATTATTTTTTCAGTTTGAATTTAAAGAAGTTTATGTTAAGCATAGGCTTAATGCTGCTTTGTGATTTTTTGCAAATGTTGCTTTAGAAAGTAATAAAGTAATGAAATCAATCAAGAACAAGGAGCCAGTCAGTATTGTGATAAAGGATTGAAAGGTGCACTGTTCCATCATATATCAGCACCAAAGTGGCATGGTGTGATAAGAAGTTAAAAGATTAAGCAGCCACTTCTACAGTAAGATAATCGAACATTTGACAGGAAGCCAACTCCATGGTGTGTGCATGGAGTGGCACAAAGACGTGAGCTGAGCTGATCTTAATGCTTATACAAGCTGATTCAGTGTAAACTCAGGACATAAGGCAAAGGTGAAGTTCCCTTGAGTGATTTAGGTATTAAGTAAATTCCCAACTCTGAGTTTCCCCAGAGCAAACTCTAGAGTATCACAAACAGGTGTGTGTTGTCTTGTTTAGCATTTGGAGTTTCATGTGTTCATTTTTCTAACTTTTATGTCTGTTGCAGAGGAGTCCGAGAAAAGCACATCCCAAAGTCAATAGAAGAGATGCCAAAATTTGAATCAACTAAAAAAAAGGTAGAATATGAATAATATTTTTTTGTTGTGCTACACAGGTTCTAGCCTTACAGGCAGCTTGGGTTGTAGGCTATCCTGGGAACTGAGAATGAAACTGCAGTGCACGCTCCTTTGCTGAGGGTAACAATGTTGTACACTGTTAACACTTAGACACAGTGTGGTGTCTCTCTATCTATCCCTTGGTCATAGGGGACCTTTAGATGCTGTAACTGTGCAGAGTTGTGTCCCTTCTCATGCCAGGATGTAAATCTTAAGATTTGCCCTTGTTGTTTCCTTGACTTGTTCGTACAGGGTCAATGGTTGTGGGCTTCCCAATGCATCTAGAGTCTGCATCTCTTTGTATTTTCTTCTGTATCCAAATGACATGCTGTGATATTACTGAAATACTGTTTTTCTCATGCTTGTCCCATCTCAGTCGGAACTGTTACTTTGAAATCATTTTCATTTAACATGGTATTCCTTTTGTTTGATAGGCATTGACGGATGAGAAAGTAGACACAATTTATGGATAACAGCTTCTTTGTTTTACTGTAAAGGCTTGTCAGTGGTATAAGGATCTCTACCGAAATGTTGCCTTTACAGTAAAATAAGGGCACGGGTGGCCCATTCGTCTAAGGCGCGGTGATTCGCTGTCCAGAGTTGCGTCCCTTGGCATGCCAGAAACCTATGATTGTGGGTTCGAATCCCGGTTCGCCCCAATTATGTTTCTAGGTTTGTCAGCACCATACCCGTGCTCGTGGGTTTCACCGAAGTGGTAAATGTCTAAGACCTGCATCACTTCAGGCTTTCCTACCACATTAAGCTGACACGCCGCGATATAACTGGAATACTGTTAAAAGCGGCGTTAAACCCAACTCACTCACTACAGTAAAATAAGTAAGTTGTTATCCATAAACTGTGTGTACTTTAACACTGTATTCCCACTGTGTTATGGGGACACAGTTGGCCCAGCCATCTCAGGTGCTGCAAATCGATGTGCAGAGTTGTGACCCTTGTGTTTGCCAGAAACTGATCTTGGACTGGAATCCCAAATTTGCCCTGATTATGTTACTAATTATATCCGCACCATGCACATGGGTTTCACCAAGTGGGGTAAATGTCTAGGACCTGTGTCACTACAGGCTTTTTCTCCCATGTCAAGCTGACACCATGATGGAACTGAAATACTGTCCAAAGTGGCGTTAAGCTCAATCTCACTCACTCAATCACTTACATCGTGTGACCTGTGAAGATCCGGGGTTAGAATAGGTCTTCAGCAACCCATGCTTCCCGTGAAAGGTGACTATGCTTGTCATAAGAGGCGACCAACGGGATCGGGTGGTCAGTCTCACTGACTTGGTTGATGCATGTCATCATATCCCAATTGCGTGGATCGATGCTCATGATGTCAATCACTGGATTGTCAGGTCCAGACTCGATTTTTTACAGACTGCCATCATATAGCTGAAAATTGCTGAGTGTTGCATTATACAACAAACAAACAAATAAACAAACAAATAAACAAACAAAACACTTACATTGTGTTTCAGTAATGCAGTCAAAGTAAAACCTTAAAAAGTTAAAGCGTTGGCTCGTCACGCCGAAGACCCGGGTTTGATTCCCGACATGGGTAAGGCCCATTTCTGGTGTCCCCCGCTGTGATATTGCTGGAATATTGCTACATGCGGTGTAAAACCATACTCACTCACTCACTCACTCACTTTCTTGTGTTTTTCAGGACTGGTCAGATACTAACAAATATTCATTTCTTATGGACGAAGAAGACAAGGACTCGCAATGACATAATTGATGACATAATGACCTTCAGAAAGAACATAGGACGTCTGTCAGCTTGACTGCGCTGGAATCCAATCACAAAAACTACCTGCTTCAACTCATCTTGCAAATGTCTACTGGTGTGAAAATAGTATTTTTAAATATAACTGTTGCAAAAGTTGTAAAGACATTAACAGTACTTGCTTCATTGACTTTGGAAAAGTGCGAAATCAGTTATTACCATAACGTAAGAGTAGAACATGTCTGTGTTAAATGTGAACAGAGGTAAGAGAGTGTATTTTGTGTGGGAAAATTTAGAAAAATATGTGAATACTGGTAGTTTAAATGAATTGAAATATTTTCCGAAATTTATTATTTTTTAATGAAATAACTAGAAAAGTAGAACAAAATGTGTAAAGTACTTAATGTGGCAACAGGAGCAAACTGACTGTGAGATTAAGTGATTTGGTGGAGCATTGTTCACATAGAGATGCTGCCCTGTATTCTGGTAGACCATGCAAAGATGGAATATTGGACATATTCAGGAATTCAAGTTCCATCTGTAACCATGGTAACAGTTACTGTTATTTCCTTTTCTTTAGTATTAGTAGTAAATTTGTTTTAATATATTGTTAAATTTCAAATTTCTGAAAATCTTAGATTGCATGATTCACACTTAATTCCACGTTCATTGTGTATGTATCTGTGTAGGACAGTGGTCCACAATAAGTGTTGCCTTTGATCATTAGTGTTACTACCTTGTCATTGACTATATTTTGAGAAGAACTGTTAAAGCTTTTCGTCACCAGGGTGCTGCCCTCGGTGTCTTCTATTCTTCATTCATAGCTATTTTTCTGGTGTATTTGAATTCAACATGCTGATGTCTCATGGAACCATTACCTAACGGTGGTCACGGAGGTTTTTGTTTGCACCTTCAGGATATATCATCCTGTTTATCATAATCATATTGTTATGGGAAGTTTTGTCCATATTTGTGTAAAATTGTCCATGTTTGTAATTACCAGGTTTCACTTTGTTGGCATTTGTACAATAGCTTTGTGACAGACCTTGTTCATTACTTCTTCTTGTAGGGAGGTTACAACTTCAGCTCTCTGATATTGTACGTCATTAACCTGCGATCCGATGCAGTGTGGCTGCACAGCATTTAATCAACTATTTACTATGGATGTTATATCTCAGGTAGGAGATATGGAGATTCTATGAACCACAATGTCAACCAATAGCTAGACTATGTTAGTTCAGCTGGTGGAAAAGCTGGATGTATTCCCTGTGACACTCAAAGACTCTCCTGCTGTTTGATGGGTTGAATTCACATACTCCTGCATCCTATACTCTGTACATGCTATATCAGAGATAGCACCCTTCTTTCTCGTCATGTACATGCTATATCAGAGATAGCACCCTTCTTTCTCGTCATGTACATGCTATATCAGAGATAGCACCCTTCTCGTCATGTACATGCTATACAAGAGACAGCACCCTTCTCGTCATGTACATGCTAAATCAGAGATACCATCCTTCTCGTCATGTACATGCTATACAAGAGACAGCACCCTTCTCGTCATGTACATGCTATATCAGAGATACCACCCGTCTCGTCATGTACATGCTATACAAGAGACAGCACCCTTCTCGTCATGTACATGCTATATCAGAGATAGCATCCTTCTCGTCATGTACATGCTATACAAGAGATGCCACCCTTCTCGTCATGTACATGCTATACAAGAGATAGCACCCTTCTCGTCATGTACATGCTATACAAGAGACAGCACCCTTCTCGTCATGTACATGCTATATCAGAGATAGCACCCTTCTCGTTATGTACATGCTATACAAGAGATACAAACCCTTCTCGTCATGTACATGCTATACAAGAGACAGCACCCTTCTCGTCATGTACATGCTATACAAGAGATACCACCCTTCTCGTCATGTACATGCTATATCAGAGATAGCACCCTTCTCGTCATGTACATGTAATACAAGACATAACACCCTTCTCGTCATGTACATGCTATATCAGAGATGCCACCCTTCTCGTCATGTACATGCTATACAAGACATAGCACCCTTCTCGTCATGTACATGCTATATCAGAGATGCCACCCTTCTCGTCATGTACATGCTATACAAGAGACAGCACCCTTCTCGTCATGTACATGCTATACAAGACATAGCACCCTTCTCGTCATGTACATGCTATACGAGAGATAGCATGCTATGTACATGCTATACAAGCGATATCACTCTTGTGTACATGCTATATAAAAGATAGCACCCTTCTCATCATGTACATGCTATATAAGAGATAGCATGCGATATACATACTATACAAGTGATATCACCCTATGTACATGCCATATAAATGATAGCACCCTGTGTACATGCTATACAAGAGATAGCACCCTATGTGCATGCTCTGTACATAGCACCCTACTTGTCATGTACATGCTATACAAACGATAACACCCTGTGTACATGCTTTACAAGCCATATCTACCAATGTACATGCTATATAAAAGATAACACCCTACTCATCATGTACATGCTATACAAGAGATAGCACCCTACTTGTCATGTGCATGCTATACAAGAGATAGCACCCTACTTGTCATGTACATGCTATTCAAGGGAAAGCACCCTACTTGTCATGTACACGCTATACAAGAGATAGCACCCTGTGTACATGCTATACAAGAGATAGTACCCTACATGTCAGGTACATGCTATACAAGCGAAAGCATCCTACATGCTATCTCATCCTACGTGTTGTACAAGTCTGGTCATGATTGTGGATGGTTACTGTGAAAATATCTGATGTAGATAGTGTTGTGTTTATCTGTTGCACCTCAATATGTTCTTTATTCAGGAAAGGTAATTTGTTAGTGTGGGTTACTGTTAAGGCTTTCTCCGCAAACCTCCAACGACCATGATTTCTAACAGATACACTCTCATTTCTCTTGGCATCCGCTAAAAATATTTATCGGTTAATTTTATCCTGCTTGCAGACAAAATGAGAAATTCTGGCAGATTTCAACTTTGAAGTTAGGTCTGTATCACTATTTTGTAGCCGTTGCCTGTTTTATTATTTTTGCGAGGGCATTTCTTTTCTTTGATGGTAAAAATATTCTTTTTTTTCTATTTTTTTAAATTCAACATTTCAGACCTAGAGCTTTGACTCCTTGTTTCCCCTTGCCTGTGTATTTAATCATAATTGTATATATCATGTTTCATATAAAGACAAGCCAATAAGTTCTTCTGTACCTAGTACAGTGATTTACCACTGACTGACATTGGTATTTCTCTAAACATTTATTTTTTCATTTTTGTATAAAAAAAAGTGTCCATTGCAACAAAAAAAATCTTATTTGTTTTTTGGTTTGGTTTTGCTGTCACAATCAAAACATGTATGTACAACTAACATCAGGTTACCTACAGTTGGTACTCCCTTGGTCTTAGTACTCTTTACCTGTAGACCATGTAACAGAGTCACACTCACTGCCCCTCGCTTGCTTACGTTGTATGATGTTTGAAAAACTCTGCCAGGAGAATGTTCATATGTCTACCTTTGTGTACAAGTATGCAACTGTTTTTTCTGCTGTAGACCGAATACCTGACTTTCAGGCACAGGGTCTCTTACTGGTTTGGGATACCGAAACAAGCTTTCTGCTGTAGATCGAATACCTGACTTTCAGGCACAGGGTCTCTTACTGGTTTGGGATACCGAAACAAGCTTTCTGCTGTAGATCGAATACCTGACTTTCAGACACAGGGTCTCTTACTGGTTTGGCATACAGATACAAGCTTTCTGCTGTAGATTGAATACCTGACTTTCAGGCACAGGGTCTCTTACTGGTTTGGGATACCGAAACAAGCTTTCTGTTGTAGACTGAATACCTGACTCTCAGGCCCAGGGTCTCTTACTGGTTTGGGATACCGAAACAAGCTTTCTGTTGTAGACTGAATACCTGACTTTCAGGCACAGGGTCTCTTACTGGTTTGGGATACCGAAACAAGCTTTCTGTTGTAGACTGAATACCTGACTCTCAGGCACAGGGTCTCTTACTGGTTGGGATACGGATACAAGCTTTCTGCTGTAGATGGAATACCTGACTTTCAGACACAGGGTCTCTTACATGTTTGGCATACGGATACAAGCTTTCTGGTGTCTGTTGCACAGCTGAGACATGGTTTAAACCTTTTTCACCCATTCAATTGTTATCGTCTGTTTGCAGTTATAGTAAGTTAGTGCATGTCTATGCTTAGCAATACCCATGTTGTCAGTGTTTCTAGCTGGAATATTGCTGAGTGCGGCGTTAAACAACAAACAAACATTGTTTCACACACATGCAGAGATGTTGATCGGTGGATCCAAGTTTTCAGAAATATACTACAAAAGACAAGTTAGAGAACATCCACAATTGGAAGACTGTGTGGTGTATACCCACCAGTCATAACAGATTAACTATAGTCATATAAAAAAAAAATCGGGTGTTCTTTAACTTCTTATGAGTAGTAGAAATTCGTCTTCAAAATATGAAATATGGCAGTCAAAAGTTAGATAGATATGCTGGCCATCTATTGTTTCCAAAGATTTTACGGTTTGGGCGTAGGGGTAGCCTAGTGGGAAGAGTGTTCACTTCACTACAGCAGACCCGGGTTTGATTCCCAACATGGGTACAATGTGTGAAGCCCATTTGTGGTGTCCTTCCGTGTTATTTTGGGTATAATGCCCAGATAAAACCATTTTCACTCCTATTATTGAATAGTTCAATGGCCCAGGGCTGTTCCTTGAAGCGATCTTAGTGTTGGGGTGATCGTGACTCCCATACTTTATCAGAGGCTTACGATAGTTGTAGTGCCGAGATTGTTTTGTGGAACGGGCCCCTGGTGTTTAAACTGCCATCTCTTTATGTAATTTTAAACCATGATTACGCATGGTATGTTTTGATGCCATTATCTATCAGATTGGTTGATGTCTTGGTCATGTACGAATCTGAGGTTACATCCACGGTGTCCCAGTTGGGATATTGCTATGTGAATGCTATTCCCTGTCCCTTTGCACTTTTGGATGCAGATCTTGTATACCGGTCACTGCTGTTCCATGCTTGTTAATTCCGTGTTTTGTTGTTAAGGGTGAAAGGTTTTCTTTTCTGTTGTCTTTACCTGGTGCCAATTGTTTGTGGTTTCTGCCATTTGTGCATGTACCTGTAAATTCTCTGACAGGGGCATGCTAGCGTCTTGTAGATAAACATAACAGGCTTGTACAGATTGGGAGAAGAATTCATCCATTTTAATAAAATAAGTATACAAGTTCAAATGCTTTGGTCTTTCTTTATGGCTCAGTGGAATCTTCACGCCATTTTCGTGAATGGATACACAGAAGGATTCGATGGTAGTGTGACTGTTAACCTTCAGTCAACTTGGGTTGTATACTCCCCAGGGAGCTGAGAAAGAAAATTGAGTACACACTGAACCTTTGACCAGGGTTATAATGGTAGAAGTGCTTTGAGTATGCTTGAATGGATGGGCTGTAGCACATTACAAATATTCATTCATTCATTCATTCATTCATTCATTCATTCATTCATTCATTCATTCATCAGACTAAGTGGCAGATTGAACCCACCCTATCCTCGGTCAGGATTCTGGGTTAATATAGGTCTTCAGCAATCTATACTGGTGGTAAGAGTCAACTGTTATAAGTTTGTTAATAGCAGGTCATTGTATCCAGAGTATATGTTTCTCATAACGTCCATTGCTGGTTTGTCCAAACTTAATTATTCACAGATTATCACTCTTCTAAGTCTACAATAGCATGTGTTGTATGAACAGTAAAATCACAAACACTACTCTATAGCCAATGTTTGTTAATGACTGCCTCCATGGTCTGATAGAGCTTCCACCCGGAGGACGTTAAAATATGGTACTTGATGTTACCCTGCCTGGTGATAAAACAAGGACTGGTTAGATCTGAGTCTGAAATCTCTGAGTGGGATATCCCACTGCAGGCTAGCTCTATAAAACCTGCATAAATCCAGACTAATCCAAGCAACATGCTTGTCACAAATAAGTGCAATGATCTCCATTAAGCACCGTTTCACCACACCTTATACATACCTATTCTAACCAACATAATCCTCAAAATAAGAACAGTACAGGACATCACATGGTGGCACAGGTTGTATCAGATGAGATTTGAATATTAACAAGGGCTGGTCAAACTTAGGCCTGACTAACTTTCAGATGATGACCCAAGGCCTGGACATCCCTCAGCTTCTATCAATGAAGATTCAATCAAGAGATAGAAAAACTTATAATGTCAGATAGACGTATTACCATTGCTGAACTTGTGGAAGACACAGGTCTAAGCCATGGATCCTTGACACTCTTAATCATGAACATTTACAGATGAATAAGATATCTGCTCGTTGGGTGCCAAAGTTCCAAAATTCTGATCTTAAGGAAATAAGACTGACATTGCCAGAGAAAATTAAAAGCTAATTGAGGATTTCGTCACTTCTCTGGCACCAAAGAAATTAAGTCTTCAAGATCGGTGAAGAAAGTTATCATGGTTATGGCCACTGCATTCTGGGATGCAAAGGGTGTGTCCTTGTTGATTAGTTAGAAAGTCAAAAGACTATTTCTGGTGCCTACTATGCTGATTTGCTTCATCACCTGAGAGATTCTATCAAAGAAAAGTGGTGAGGAATGCTGAATGCTGGAGTTCTACTATTTCATGACAATGCCTCTTCTCACACCTCTTGACTTGCAAAAGCTGCTGTGTGACTGTGGGTTCGAAGAGCTTCCTAACCCTCCAGACTCGCCAGACCTGGCACCAAATGATTTCCACCTGTTTATAGAACTGAAAGAACACCTTCGTGGAAAGTGCCACAACGATGACCTCAAAGTTTTCAGGGTGGCTTCAGAAAACTTTTTCCTGACTGGACTTGAAAAGCTTCACTATCGATAAGAGAAGTGTATTGACAAGCAGGGAGTTTATGCAGAAAAATAAATTTAAATACACTTTGACAATTGTTGGTTTTATTTGATAGGCTTAGAACTTGTACTACTACCACCAAGATCTGCAACCGAGGCGGCTCCACACTCCTTAGCGGGTTCCGGCTTTTATGGCCACCGTCCCGCTCTTTCTATATCAACCAACAATTTTTACAGTTTCTCTTCAGTCGTGTCAGGCTGACAGTGGAGAGAAGGTGGATGGGTGACATGCAATCTTGACTCCTAGTTATCCCCCGCCCAAACGAAGTTGGCGGGGGATATAGAAATGGGTTCCCTCCGTGTGTGCGTGCGTGTGTGTGTGTGCGTGTGTGCAGCCCGAAATCGTTTCCGGAGCATAACTCAGAAACCGTTAAATATTTCTCTACGAAACTTTGCATGTCTATCAGACTCATGCTGAACTGGTGCCTTTTGCTAATTAGGAATTTTATAAACTTTTATTTTTTACGTTTCCATGGCAACAAGTTGGACTTAGGTATAGAACCTAACTCAAAAACCGTTAAATAGTTTCTTACAAAACTTTGCATGTTTACCAGACACATACTGAACTGGTGCCTTTTGCTACTTAGGAGTTTTATAAATTTTTATTTTTTACGTTTCCATGGCAACAATGCATTGTTGTCCATGGCTAATGCATTGCACACAACCAGACATGTCATATTGGCTGGGGATATGAGTATTTCATGCTTGTTTTTTTTTTATGAGATGGTAACAGACCAAAACTACTCAAAGGCAGCTTGATTTGTATCATGAGTCTGCTCCTGGAGAGCTGAAATTTAAGTCAGTAGAAAACCCACTAATCTCAGACCTTTCACAAACATCCCTCTTACCCGTCTGCAAGACTCCCAAGAACAGAAGAATGTGTCATTTGCAAGTCCATGGAATCTTCAGTGTCATTGTGTTAGGGCTGGGACGGGTAACTCGGGTACTGAGTACTACCCTGGCACCCACAGGACAACCCGGACCCGTGGTTAGTCACATGATATATTGTTCAATGACAAAAATTATTTAACTCTCTATGGTTACACTACAAGTCACTAATGTTCGCATTTCTTCCTGACTATACACACATTCTTTCTGACTTTATACATTTGAGTAAAGATAAAACTTCAGTTAACTTCAGTGTATGCATGACCAGATCGTTTTATATGTGTATCTAAATACATTTTGCCAGGGCTACTGTCAAAAATTTTTCAATCGGACAGTTTGTACCCATTTCCCGAGACCTACATCGGGTACCCAGGTAGGGTCGGGTAATAAGGGGGTGGGTAACCGGGTAGTAAATTTGGACTCATCCCAGCCCTACACGGTGTGATGGTCTAATGGGTGAGTGAACATCTTACAGTGCAGTTGACAGAAATATTCTAGCTACTGAAATATCAAGGTGGATTTGTAAATAGTCGGCTCCAAGTCACGGGGTATAGAAGACCAACATTCAGCTAGATCAACGACTAACCATCCTATCCCTAAGTGTGGATGGGGGAAAGATGATACATATTGTAACCTCAGTTTAGTACTGGAGTGCTGGGATCTCTTCAGCTCCAGGTGGTCCTATTGGAGACAAGCATGGGATACTGGGGACATATTCTGATCTAGAAACCCCACCAGGAGACAAGCATGGGATATTGGGGACATATTCTGCTCTAGAAACCCCACCAGGAGACAAGCAAGGGATACTGGGGACATATTCTGCTCTAGAAACCCCACCAGGAGACAAGCATGGGATACTTGGGACATATTCTGCGCACGAACGCAGAAGAGACGACAAGCATGGGATACTGAGAACCCATTCTGCCAAAGAATCCCCACCAGGAGACAAGCATGGGATACTTGGGACATATTCTGCGCACGCACGCAGAGGAGACGACAAGTATGGGATACTGAGAACCCATTCTGCCAAAGAATCCCCACTGGGGATAATCATACTAGAGGTGAATTTAATTAAATGTGAATTGAATCCTCACCCATGGCACTGCAGGTATTTTATTTAAGCAATTTCCTTATCCCCAAGATGAAAACAAGTCAAAATCAGATGTGTAGACCTTTTATTTTGAATGTATATCCTCAAGGTTTGGAAACCTCATAGATTGTTAGGAAAAATGCTGCTTATTGCACAAAACTTATTGTCATACATAAACTGTTCAGTAAACTGCATAACAGTGATCAAAATATATATAGTCTGATACAGCTGCATGGAACCTTGAAAATATAAAAGAATTACAAGGCACTTTAATTTGATTTTTACAAAATTATTACAAAACATATTAATATGAAATACCCTGTCTTAAACAAAAAATCTAATATTTGTATGATATGTGATAGTGGTTTTGTGGGACAATAAGGGATGTCATTGTGTAACCTGATATTGATGTCTCAATACATGTTTTATCTTGACACTGTATCTATACAAATTTATGAATATTGATACTAAACTAATAATTCACTGCCACAGAAATGGTTTCATTTGTTAAAATAGTCTAGATGGACATTAAGTTAACAAATTGCAGGTCTAAATTTGATATACACACATACTGAAGAACTAATTTTGATATTAATTCATATATCATGATACCTTTGAGTCGATATATCAATACTAAACTTTCCAAACAATGGCACCCTTAGGGACAACACCAGTTGTTATGACATTCATATTCCAATCTTTCTTAATTTCACACATTCATTACAGGAATTAATGTCCTGAACAACTTACAGTAATATTGGCTGGCGACATCCTTTACTCTCTGCACCACTCATGATTCATCAACTTAAATATATTAGTCTGATATACAAACAGTGGACATTCAGGTCAACCAGCATGCAAGCGTGAGTGACCCAGATGTTGGGAGGTGACCATAGTGATGTGAGGTATGTATGGGTGAATTCATTTTAGAAGCTGGAAACCTTTGTTTCAGACACGTTTCCACTTAGGATCGAAAGAAGAAAGAGAAATGTATAGTGTGAAAAACTTCTGTCTTCAAATTGTTTCAACACTCCCCAACATATCAATATTCCAAACCAATTTTACCACCAGCCGATTACAAACATTTGGCACAGAGGAGAAATACGAACACCAAATAATACTGGACAAATTTAAAAAATATGAACACATACTTGAGTTTGAGTCACAGAGTCAAAACAAATAAAAAAATGGAAAGATTGCAAACAAAATGTGAGCAATGTAACATACAGTAGCAAGTGGTTCATTTGAACAGATTGGAAACATAAAAATGAAACAGATTTGGTTAATGCCAATATTCACTCATCAGGTAAGTCTTTCATGAACTCATTTCTATGGCTGAAACAATGAAAGTCAAATTCAAAATATCCTAGCACATCAGTGGATCCCTTCTGCCTTACTGTATATGTTAATGTTTTCTATGACAACCAAACAATATTTTGTACAATCATTTTTTCACTTGAACCTGATAATATTTAAAGCAAAGATGCTACTCAAAAGAAGTTACAGACCGCCCGATTCTTCCATATTACTCTAGTTAATCTGTCATGTCATGACAAAGTATCTATAGTTATAGGTAAAAATTGGGTGGCGACAGATTAACCACAGTTCTATTAAAGAATCAGGTGGTCCTTAACTTCTTTTGAGTAGTCTACTTTACCACTTTACTACATTGTGCTAGTGTCACTGTTCTAGCAGTACAATCGGGACTTTATCATGGACCCCTTGCAATAGCAGTTCTCCATCATACTTGACGATCTTCCTCTTCTTGGCTGCTTTCAGAGTCCCTACCAGGGCCTCAAACATATTTGCACATTTCTCATCGTTGAAAAGGACTCCAAATTCAACTTGTAGTGTTCCATCAGCACCTAAACAAAGATGTTTAGACAATATTATACAACTATTGAGGGCATTTTTATGATTGAAATAGCAAGAAATTCTATTGCAACACTATTTCAATTTTGGTACGACTATTGCTTGCTAGTTGTTTAGTGCCACACTCAGCAATATTCCAGCTACACATATGTGATGGTGGTCTGTAAATAATCGAGTCTGGACCAGACAACCCAGTGATTGACATCATGAGCATCGATCTACACCATTAGGATACAATGACATGCATTAACAAAGTCAGCAAGTCCGACCACCGATCCCGTTAGTCACCTCTTACGAGAAGCATGGGTAGCTGAAGACCAATTCTAACCCGGATCTTCACAGGGGTATTGCAATAGTATTGCCATTAGGATGACATGTATGACAAGTACCTTTCCCATCCCGTAATGTAGATGTCCTTGTGTTATTTCACAGGACAAAGCCTGATATGCCTGCTCTAGGTTCAGGAGAAACTGTTCAGGAAGTGGGGGATGTATCTGGAAGTATTGTCTGTTAACTTATTGACTATTCTGAAAAGCTCGTTTCACGTCAGTTCTTACAAGGTGTAGTTAAGACAAAGCACTAAAGTTCATGACAACCCATGAAGATAGAATAGGTCTTTAGAGGTCTTTATGCTTGCCGTAAATGGCGACTATGCTTGTCGTAAGAGGCGACTAACGGGATCAGGTGGTTATGCTCAATGACTTGGTTGATGCATGTCATCGTATCCCAATTGTAGCATCGATGCTCATGATGTCAATCACTGGATTGTCTGGTCCAGACTCGTATATTTACAGACCACCGTCATATACCTGGAACATCGCTGATTGTGGCGTTAAACAACAAACAAACAAAAGTTAATGACTAGCAGCAGTTAAACATTTTATTTCATCTACCGATGGCATAGCATGATAATGAATGATGGTGACTATTGATAGTGCAACCTTGTCACAAATGTAATGGCATCTTGCCATGGACAATTGTATTGCATTTAGATATTCAATTGTTTCAGCACTCCAATGTAACACATCTGAATCAATAGCTGAAACAAGCAAGGGCAAGCGAGACAGTAAAAACTGTTTTTCAGTCAGAAATATTGGCCAGGGTGCTGTTGTACAAAACAACCATAGCCCTACGACAGTCGTAAGTCTATGTTAATGTATGTGAGTTACGATCACCTTAGCGCTAAGATCGCTATGAACAACAGTACCCTGGGCCCTGTTCCACAAAGCGATCGTAGTGCTAAGATGATCGTAACTCCCATAATTTAACATAGGCTTACGACAGTCGTAGCGCTAAGATCGCTTTGTGCAATGGGGCCCTGTACCTAATTGCCCGTGGGAACCCGAGCTGAAGTAGGTCCCCAGGGCACCGTTCCACAAAGCTATCTTGACGCTAAGATGATCGTAAGCTTATGTTAAAGTGTGGAGTTATGATCACTTCAGCACTATGATCACTTTGTGGAATGGGGCTCTTGCCAGTAATAAGACTAAGAGGCAACTGAATTAGGGGAGTCAGGCTGTGTGACTTTGCTGATGGCATATCATTCTTACAACTGTTTACATGCTGCCTTAATATAGCTGACATATTGCTGACTGAAGCATGATAAACAAGTTCCGTTTCTGATTACTGGCATCAGGCTTAATCTGTGGCATATAAACTTGATTGACACCATAGGTATAATGGTGCACTATCAGACAGGACACACATTGTAACCAGCCAATCAGCTCTTATAATGAGCATTTATTACTGGGTACCAAGAATGCCCACCAGTAAGCTAGTGGAAAGTTCACTGCATTAACTCCTCAGTACACACTTGGGCTCACTTGCATAAAGCGATCTTAGCGCTATGACTATCGTAAGCCTATTTTAAATTATGGAAGTAACGATTATCTTAGCGCTAAGATTGTTTTGTGCAAGTGGGTCCAAGTGTGTGCTGAGGTCCACAAAGATGTCTCCAATATCTAAACAATGTGACAAGATAGTGTCCATGAACTATGTTTTAGTACCTCACTGCAGTTCATGAGACACAATCGGACACTCATCTTTACCTGGTGTTCCTAATCTTTTAATTTCTTCCTTCAGAAGACCTATTTCGTGCTCAACATTCATGATTTCCCTGAAACAGAAAACTTTCATTAATCCAAATTTGACAAAGTTGCAAGCAAAGATTTATTCTTTCATCTAATAGTTTCATTACTTATGTTATGAAGTACCTTTGTACATACTGTGTTGTTGGACAACAGGGAGGGACTGAATAGTCAGAATATTGCAGCTACATCATAGTTATCTTGAGCCTCTTCTTGAGAAACCAGTGGTTGATAGAATGAACATCACCTATCTTCCAGGTCATTGCTGAGAATTTATCCAATCACATCTTAGTTATCGCTACCACTAGAACATCCCATAACGGATCACGTCCGAAAGACCTTTCATCCGACTAATCAGAGCATCACTTACCAGATCAGAAAGTGATAGTTGGAGGACCTTAGTGAGTGGTTTCTAATCATGCAATCTCGAAAAGATTAACACAGGGTATTCCGAACGATCGTTATGGGCTTTACAACTGAATGTGTCAAAACCATGGTCAATCTCTCGCTACAAATGGATATACATTTGAACGGAAGTGACTTTGTATAGCCATAGTACTGTCATAGTATCTAGGCCATCTATTGGACATTCCAGAATGTTCCTTTGATCAGTTTTTGAATTTAGAATCTAGAACTTTGTCAAAATATATTTCAAAGTGTAGTCTGGAATGGAAGTAGCCAGTTTGAAACAAGTGCTGTTTAGCTTGGTTAATGTCGACTTCTTGTACATCATTTCAGTGGTCGGTCAAAGTTTGCGAAAGGTCCTTCTGATGTGACCTGTAATGGGATGTGCTCAGATAATTGTTTTGCGGTAACGAAAGCTAAGATCTGATTTTCAATGAGATTGAGAATTTATCTATCCAAGTAGTGACAAACCAAAGTTCTGGCAACAGCTGCCATTCTGACCAACTAATTAACATATTAGTGAGTGAGTGAGCATGGTTTTTCGCCCCTTTTAGCAATACTCCAGCAATATCACAGGGGGAACACCAGAAATGGGCTTCACACATTGTACCCATGTGGGGAATCGAACCCGGGTCTTAGACGGGAACGGGCGAACACCTTTAACCACTAGGCTACCCCACCACCCCCACATTGTGGTATGGCCCTATAACAGCAACGTATACTTGGGGCATCTGACATGAAATCCACACATCGGTGATCACAGAGAGTAATACTGATTTCAATACCTCAATTTACTATACTTTTAATATTCCTTAAATGATATTTGAATGTACTTCGTGTTGGGGAAGGTCAAATGGCATCCTGTTGTGAATGGGTGATACTACATGGTATCAGTATCGTTTTAATTTGTACATTGTCACCTTGACGAAAATAACTATTTACGAACATAAAATCGACACCATCACCATACAGGGCCTATAGCGGTAAACGGAAGTTATTTTTAGTATAATACCGAGTGTGCTATGACTTTTTGAGGCACTCTTGTTGAATGTAAATATTAAAATTATCCTCCTAAAATATATCATATTTATATGTTTTTAAACGAAAATAACATACAACGTCAAGCTGAAATGTCCACTCCTGTTCCAAGTCGATGAGTCACGAAGCTTTATAGAATTACTTCCCTTTCACTGGTGATCGTATTCGATTACTGCACCTGACTTGCGCCCTACAGCGTACTATGGCAGACAATCGTTAATTCCATTCATTTGGGTATGTTTTAGTAGTCGGAGGTGCAAACTTACCACTTTTTCTCTCGGAACTGAACACTAATACCAAATTGAACGCCGGCGTCTTCGAATTACCCCGCCCACTTTAACACACGGAAGTAAAGTGAATGAAATGTGCGCATGAGCAAGTGCCCGGCCAACATTATATACTGTTAACCATACGACTATATCCATTTCTTCTCTCGTCTGAATGCATTTCTTGAGTTATCAGTCTACAATCTTTTGGCAGGAAACGCAAGATGATTAACAGTGACATACATATATATCACAATTACTAGCTGTACATAGATATTTTTTTTTATCTTATCATGAATCATTGGGAAATGAGTAATTTTCCCAACTTCGCCAGGCAGTAAGGCCAGAACCAAATAAAATACTTTTTCTTCGATTTCTCTACTTTCATTTCATCCATTTCGTATGTCTGGAGAGGTTTTGTGTGACAACTATGTTAAAAAATAAGTTATACCCTTGCTTTAAAAAAAGACCAGTTCATAATGAAATCTGTCCTGTGAAAATAATGACTCTCTAAACTCTAAAATCAGTATTATCCAATACATGAAACTTCATTGAAGTTCTTTCATGATAATATATTACATACATTGATCTAATTTTTCTGCTAATGGTACATTCTTGATTAAAATAATATACGTTACATATAAACATATTTTTTAAACAGACTACTGTACATTATAATCATAATCATATCTGCTGTCAAATAGCCTATAGAACTTCCCAACAACTGATTACCAACACCAAGTGTGTGACATGTTAATTGAGAAAATCAGTTACAAAGGTTTGTTTGTTTGTTTGTTGTTTAACGCCGCAGTGAGCAGTATTCCTGCTATATGACGTCGGTCTGTAAATAATCGAGTCTGGACCAGAGAATCCACTGATTGATATCATGAGCATCGATCCACGCAATTGAGATACGATGACATGCATCAACCAAGTCAGCGAGCCTGACCAACCGATGCTTGCCTTAAAAAGCCATTATGCTTGTCGTAAGAGGCGACTAACAGGATCGGGTGGTTAGGCTCGCTGACTTGGTTGATGCATGTCATCGATCCCAATTTCGTGGATCGATGCTCATGATATCAATCACTGGGTTGTCTGGTCCAAACTCGATTATTTACAGCTGGAATGACGTCATATAATACTGTGAAATGAAGGCACATTGTGATGTCGAAGATGGTTTCCCCTTCAGTGAAACCTACGAGCATGAGTATGGTACAGATTCCGGGGTAGAATAGGTCTTCAGCAACCCATGCTTGCCGTAAAAGGCGACTATGTTTGTCGTAAAAGGCGACTAACGGGATCGGGTGGTCAGGCTCGCTGACTTGGTTTATGCATGTCACTGATCCCAATTGCGTGGATCGATGCTCACGATATCAATCAATGGATTGTCTGGTCCAGACTCGATTATTTACAGACCGCCGTCATATAGCTGGAATATTGCTGAGTGCGGCGTTAAACAACAAACAAACAAACAAACATCCGTCGAAAACAAAGAGACGGTTTTCCGTCTTAGACCTGACTGACCATCTGTATGACGACGTCAGAGGACACAGCTCAACTTTCGCTCAGCTTTCGTCTGAAAAACACAGTGATATTCCCAAGGTTCCATTTTCTTCTTTGTGCTGATACTGTTGCCAGATGAGAACTTGAATCTTCAAGATAGAATCTTGAGACAAGAACTTGAATTTTCAGGATAAAAATAAATGTGGCCCTTATGCGCTTCCGTACAAAGAAATTAACCAGTAGCTAACCCTGTTTCGTTCAACGATATTTATTCAGTGACCTAATATTCCAGGCTACTGTTATTAAGTGTTTTGACACAAAACACGGCAATGAGGAAGCCACACCATCTATTTGTGCATCAATGTGTACGGACAGTTATTAGGGACATAACTACCAAATACAAAATACATCCATGGTTGATTTCATATAGTTTTATTGACCTTACATGAAGTTGAAGTAAGTCCTCACACTTCATTGGTACCCGCCCAAACTTCTAAGAACTAAACAACATATAAGAAAACATACAACATTATGGATAACAACTTCTGGGTCCACTTGCACAAAGCGATCTTAGCGCTAAGATGATCTTAACTCTCATACTTTAACACAGGCTTACAATAGTCTTAGCGCTAAGATCGTTTTGTGCAAGTGGGCCCTGGTTTATTGCATTTGGCGACGTTACGGTGTAGATTTTTACACTGTTATCAAGCTGGATAACGGTGTAAGAATGTACGTACGCAAGCATGCATGCACGCACGCACGCATGTATATACTTATGTGGTGCGTATGTATGTAGTTTTGTACACACATATTTTGTAGTATGTATTAATATAAACTGTACAATTTCAATTAATAATCATAATGAGTTTATCTCTGGTATTTATCAATATGGTTCCTATTCTGAAGCCCCAGTCGACATAATTATATAGTCATATACAGCACTTAACAACATTTGAGGAAGTGACGTCAGTTCATTACGTGACATATTCCTGGTGAAAATAATTATGGTATTCTGATTTTGAACGATTAAATATCCTCAGCGGTTACCAAAGTGCAACAAATAACCTCATTGTATGACATATATCGTCCTGAGACCCCTGAGGTTATTATAGTGTGAATGAGTGAGTTAGTAAGTATGGTTTTACGCCGTCTTAAGCAATGTGACAGTAATATCACGGCGGGGGAACACTGTGTTGGGGTTCGAACGCGGGTCTCTGGCATGACGAGCGAACGCTTTAACCACTAGACTATCACACCGACGTCGCAATAGGATGGATGGTTGGATGGTACATATATACGTGTACGAACAGCATAGCATAAGTTAGTGTTTGTTTCAATTCCAGCTCTATGACCGCGGCCTGTAAATAATTGAGTCTTGGCCTGACAATCCAGTGATGGTTTCGAGAGCAAAGATCCATATCTTCGGGGTAACATGACATGCTATCAACCAAGTCACCGAGCCTGACCACCCGATCCATTGTGATCCATTTCATCTTACGACCATCACAGGTTGCTGGGGGCGTATATTCTAATCCGGAATCTCACAGGGTGTGAGTTATCATGGGTTTCATGACGCCGTGGTTCCGTTAATGAGAGAATAGGCATAGGGACAAATAACCGAGGATCACATCTGCATGAGGCGAATCCGGGGTGAATATTTGGTTGGTTGGTTTGTTGTTTAACGCCGCACTCAGCAATATTCCAGCTATATTACCTCGGTCTGTAAATAATCGAGTTTGGACCAGACAATCCAGTAATAAATATCATGAGCATCGATCCAAGCAATTGGGATTGATCACATGCATCAACCAAGTCAGCGAGCCTGACCACCCGATCCCGTTAGTCGCCTTTTAGGACAAGCATAGTCGCCTTTTACGGCAAGCATGGGTTGCTGAAGACCTATTCTGCCCCGGAATCGTGAATATTCGGTCAGCGGATCATGGAGCCCCGATTCATGGCGCAGAGTTGCGTCCCTTACCCGCTCCATGATCCGTGAATATTCAGCGTATCATGAAGCGGGTAAGGGACGCAACTCTGTTCCATGAATCTGGGAACTATAGGAAACACCTGACACTCTACATTAGTGAGGTATCGCCCTGCATATATGACTATTATACCTATCGAAAGACGTCAATTGAAATATCTTTAGGAGAATATTAAAGGAGACAATACGTGGATGGGATCAATGTGTTCAATGATATACGTCAAGATAATGTTGGTAATCATATACAACTTTTGCAAAGATGATGTATATATATGTAGTTATACAGAATCAGTTTGTACTAACGCACTATTTACCAATTGTACAAGGGTCAGTCTGAAGGAAAGGAAACAGACCACCGGATCTGTTTCCTTTATTCACGGTGTTTTCTTTGTCCTATTGTTGGCACGGGTGGCCCAGTCGTCTAAAGCGCCGCGATTCGCTGTGCAGAGTTGCGTCCCTTGGGCACGCCAGAAACCTATGATTGTGGGTTCGAATTCCGGTTCGCCCCGATTATGTTTCTAGGTTTGTCAACACCATACCCGTCCTCGTGGGTTTCACCGAAGTGGCAAACGTCTGAGACCTGTATCACGTCGGGCTTTCCTCCCACATTAAGCTGACACGCCGTGATATAACTGGAATACTGTTAAAAGCGGCGTTAAACCCAACTCACTCACTCACTCTTTGTCTTTTTCGTATGTATAATGCACAGACTGACAAATGTGTATCAAACTGCATCATCCGCTAGTATTCGGTGTTTATCATAATAGAATGTGGACCAGATAATGATGGATGGCATAACGTTCATTCAGTGCAAATGACGGGGATTAGGTTTGGTTTAATACTATCGTATGACTACAAACAAGGGATAATGTTAATTACTGAGTAAATTGATCCTTTCAAGTTCGCAACCGGATACAAGCCATCAAAGCATAATACGTACAAAATATATGTTATATATAATAACACATGTATGTACGATAAAATTTACAAGCATTGGTGTTTTTTAAAATACAAAACAAATCACGAACTAAATACTTTCCCAAATCTTTTAGCTACTATTCGTGTCCCTTAGTTGTGCTAGGATCCAATAAGTGTGGGTTCGAATCCAATGCAGATTCGCCTTGACTGATTCTTGATTTCTCTGTACCATACTCTTGGTTGGTTGGTTGGTTGGTTGGTTTGTTGTTTAACGCCGCACTCAGCAATATTCCAGCTATATATTTCTCCACAAAATAATTTCAGAAAGAAAATGTAATCACACCAAAGACATACTGTCAAATAACAGTTGTATACAAAAGTAAGCTGGTCTATAAATGATGGTCTTCGAGCAACCAGCACCATTATTAGAAGTTGAATTATATATATTTGGCTTGTTGCCAGTGGTAAGGCTTAACTGAATAATATTATTTATAAGAATGTTATCCGAAGAGTAGCCTTGGCTATCCAGTGTTTATGTTACCATTCTACTGAACAAACCTGAATGGAGTGTTTCTTTCTCTCTTTGTTATTTAACGCCTCACTCAGCAATAATCCAGCTATATGACGGCGGCCAGTAAATAATCAAGTCTGGACCAGACAATCCAGTGATTGACATCATGAGCATGGACCTACGCAAATGGGATACGATGACATGCATCAATCAAGTCAGCGAACCTGACCACCCGTCCCGTTAGTCGCCTCTTACGACAAGCATGGGTTGATGAAGACAATCCTAACCCGGCATCTTCACGGGACCTGAATGGCGTGAGTATGGTTTGACGTCATATAATACTGTGAGATGAAGGCACATAGTGATGTCGAAGACGGTTTCCCCTTCAGTGAAACCTACGAGCATGAGTATGGTACAGATTCCGGGGTAGAATAGGTCTTCAGCAACCCATGCTTGCCGTTAAAGGCGACTATGCTTGTCGTAAAAGGCGACTAACGGGATCGGGTGGTCAGGCTCGCTGACTTGGTTTATGCATGTCACTGATCCCAATTGCGTGGATCGATGCTCATGATATCAATCAATGGATTGTCTGGTCCAGACTCGATTATTTACAGACCGCCGTCATATAGCTGGAATATTGCTGAGTGCGGCGTTAAACAACAAACCAACCAACCAACCAAGAGTATGGTACAGACAAATCAAGAATCGCAGGCAAGGCGAATCTGCATGGGATTCGAACCCACACACATTGGATCCTGGCACAACTAAGGGACACGAATAGTAGCTAAAAGATTTCAGAAAGTATTTAGTTCGTGATTTGTTTTGTATTTAAAAAAAATCAATACTTGTAAAAAAATGTCGTACATACATGTGTTATTATATATAACATATGTTTTGTACGTATTATGCTTTGATGGCTTGTATTCACTTGCGAACCTGTAAGTAATGAAAGGATCAATTTACTCAGTAATTAACATTTTCTTTCTGAAATTATTTTTTTTTAGAAAAAGCAAAAGAACGATAATTATAAAATGACGGCACCCCGCGTACTATGAATATTCAAAATTCCCAGGTTGTTTATTTCATCATTATTGTTTTTCATTTTCATATTCCTAATACGTCTAGTTTATAAAACTGTTCAAAGATCGGTTATAATTTGTTGTTTTGAATGAAAAGCTGCTTGAAACATAATCACCGTGTTGTAATTATACAAACGGTGATGGGACGTAGCTAATCAGAACATTCTACCGAAATGCTATTTTAACTTTAAGTTTGTACTTAAGGAATCGTTATAATGATAAAATTATATGTGTAAGTTATCTAAGATTGATGATAGTATCCGAGAACTACGGAAGTGTCCCCCAGACGTCTTCACCCATTCCCTCCACAACACTATAATATGGCGATGCGAAAATAGTACAAGATTTTCATCGGCCTGACATGCGCAATGTCAATATCTTAGCAAGCCATCTTGTGGAAAGGTCTTTGGAATAACGTTATTATTGTACGATTTTGACATGCACATTTGGCCTAAGATGAATTTTCATAGGAGAAAATGACTCTCCTAGTTATCAACCATGAATGCCCGGAGCCCAATGCAGTCCTATTGGAGCAACTCGCTGGCAATTCGTCAGGAAATTCAGCGCTTCGAAAGCGTGCACCCAAGTATCTATGCTATTTATGACTTGATCGAAGCGATTCCCGATCCATTGATTCAACAACAAATACGTGAACATGTGGTTTGCATTGAAGGTGAGTCATGTAGATAATGAAAATGTAACCCTATGGTAAACTGCATCTACTTGATTGGGAAAAGCTGCTCTCACTATTACGCCAAATACTCCTAAATTAGCATCCCTTGAACACACCTCTGTTCATCTTGTATGAGAAATCATTTTGACAGTTGTCTTTTTTGTTTTGATCGTTCGAATAGTCTTGTTTTTTAATACGTGACATGCCAATATTTGGTGCTTCAAATTATTGTCTGATGACAAGTGTTTACTCAAAATAAACCCAATTGTGTATCATAATATGATTCACATTTCTGATGTCTAAGACATGAATAATGCTAGAGACATTTTATGGGGTATGGATCTGTTAATTTTCTTCATCATGACTAATAATAACATAATGGTGTTGGCATTAAAAACAAAGTTTTGCTTTAGAATATGTCACAACTAGTGGCAATTTGTACTCTCAAACAGTTTTCATGCTGTAAATAAACAATACATAATATGTGTACATGATAGTGAAATTCACATTCTTTGATAACACTTACATGAAATTTCATGTTTACTTAGTGAAGACACTTTCAGTGTTGTTATTATGGGTAATTTAAAGACTTGGATATTTAGTTTTCACATATTAGTCGTATTTGTGCGAAACAGGTAAATAAACTCGCATACAGTCATTTGCATGGTGAATGAAAGAGTTGACAGAAGTATCATCTATGATAGACATTAGTAACATGGTACATCTGTTGTAATTGTGGAGGTTATGTATCTAGTACTACATTTTCCATTGTCTGGAGTGATGATAAAGAGTGATGCTATGTGATTGTGATTGTTAAGGTTTCATTATTTTTAGTGGTGCAAAGAAATGACTTGCCTGTACAAGTGTATTTATATCTTAATGTTGATGTATGTCACACCCTTTCCTGAATGACTTTATTTTGGGATAATGATATCAAACAATGGTAGGAAAAAGGACTTCCCTGTCATTCAAATGATAGGAAGCAAAATATTATCATGATTATTGGTGATGCTTTATCCTTTTCATAGCATGCATAGTGTAACTGTTGATATATTTGTCAAGATCAGTATTGTTGTTCAAGAGAGTACAAGTAGTGTTGATATCACAAGGAAGTCAAGTGATGCATGAAATGTAGTTTTGTGACATGAATAACACCATTTTAAAAAATTGTTAAGCATTTTTAAGCAGATGGAAAAAGTTACGGAAATGAAATACAAATTCATAGACCTCAACAGTTAAATTTGAAATAATGACATCTAACATGTTTACAGTTAGAGGAAGGGCCAGTGGTGTAGCCTAGGGGTTAGAGAATTTGCTTGTCATGCCGAAGGCCTGGGTTTCGATTCCCCAATTGGTACAATGTTTGAAGCCCATTTCTGGTGTCCCCCTCCGTGATATTGCTGGAATGTTGGTAATATCGGCATAAAACAATACTTACTCACTCCTGTTGAAGAAAGTAATTCAGCATCAAATGCCAGTTCAAGCCACTGCATATACTGGACAGAAATATGTAGGCTGTAGTATGACAACTGACATCTACAGGTAATTTGTGGCACATGTTGATGGATAATGTTTCTGATGTGTGAGTGAGCTAAGTAACATTGTCACTGAACTTTTTATGGTACTTTATTTAGTTTTACTGTCAGAAAAAGTGTATACCGATATACATGTGCTTTGCTATAGCATTGCTTAAACCTTTGGTCGTCCAATTAACAATCTGACCTATCTCTGCCAATAAGGTTACTCAACCTCATGAAATCTTCATGCGTGATGCTGAAGTACCTGTGATTGATGAGTTTAAGCAACATAGGGCACGGATTCGGAAACAAAATGTCTGTCCTAATGTTGAGCTGCAGATGTCAGCTCTTAGACAAATGAGACACTGCCAATTGATGCTGATATGTTTCCAGGATATGTACTCTAAGCAACAACATATTGAATGAATCACATAGTTATCAAGGTACCACCATTACAAAACTAAAATGTATGGCAATGTATCATACCTGTTCATCAATATTTAAAGTAGTGATAAAGGTTACAAATGAAAGCATGTTCTCTAAGTTTAAGGCTGAAGGTGTGTATGTTACACTTGCGACATATAATTAATGACAAAGTAGCATACATGTTTGTGATGTGATCTCCCATGCACAGCTGCCAATCTCAGTGAACAACTAGTGTTGTATAGTATGAACATGATGATATACAAGTTAGTGTAAATATGAGAAGGGCGGCACAGTAGGGGTATAATGGGATCTGCAAGCCCTTGTACATGGCTGAAAAATTGGCTTCCCTTGATCAGGTATGTTTGTGTTAAGATTCATGCTTCACTGTCTGCATTTGTTGAATAGAATTTACAGCATCTTTGATCATACATCAGTTGACACTTGTCATTATTTCATGAGCTTCAATGATACAGTATCTTTAAGTGGCATTTTAGAAACTGAAGTAAACTAACATCAGTAGCAGCGTTAGCAATTGGCACTAGACTTATAGTCCTTGCCAAACTGCCCAATGGTAAAGGACTAGTAGTCATAAGGACTAGTAGAAATTTGCCCTTTTTTAGGGTTTTGCTATAAGTTATCATTATAAGGACTAGTGGACGTAAACTGTTAGTTTCTAACCCTGCAATAGAGTTAAAAAGTTTCAAATATTGAATGCAACATTTCACTGATTTTCATTACAGGTGGTAAGAACAGTATTTGTATGAAGCACTTTCTTCATAAAGTTACTAGTACCTGTTCAAAAACATAGCATTGAAAGATTAAGAACGAGAAAGTCAAAATACATGTCATTCTATTATACAATTTATGAGACAATGTGAATAAGGTGAATGGAAATTACGATTATACCGGGCAGTTGTCTGTTATTATTGTATGGCTGTAGTATAATGATGATCCTCATAATAAATCTTACAAGTCAGGACCAATCGTTAATGATACCTTTAAGGGTTTCAGTATTGATGACAATTGTTGTGACAAATGTCATGCATTTTTGGGAAGTTACAGATATGATTTGGTATGAGTTTGATCCCCTTTGTGAGAATGGCATCACAGATGTTACATGCAAGCATCTTTCTGTTCTATCTGCTAGGCAGGGCAGTGGGTGTAGTGGGATAGCTTACAGGTTCAAGCGTTCGTTAATCACACTAACGACCCAGGTTTGATTACCCACAAAGGTACCATGTGTGAAGTTCTTTCATTATCCCCAGGACCCGTGAAGATCCAGGTTAGAATAGGTCTTTAGCAACCCATGCTTGTCGTCATAAGAGGTGACTAACAGGATTGGGTGGTCAAGCTTGCTGACTTGGTTGACGCATATCATCGTATCCCAATACCATGGATCAGTTCTCGTGATGTCAATCACTGGGTTGTCTGGTCCAGACTTGATTATTGACAGACCACCATCATATAGCTGGAATGTTGCTGAGTGTGGCGTTAAAAAACAACAAACAAATCATTGCCCCTTGCTTTTCTGGAATACTATTAACTATGTTAACACAAGAAACAGCATAAGCCCTATTTGCTAACTCATTCTTTTTGACTGAATGTGGTATGACATAATTTCTTAAGTAAAAAAATGGTTGAAATAAGGAGGACATAACATTAAATTTAAACCCTCTAACTTGTTCACTATTTATTGGTCTTTCCATGACATGGAGCATGACAAACAGGCAGTAGAAAATACTTACCACAACATTAATTCAAGGAAGAAAGAAGCTTGTTAATGCCTTGGTGTTTGATTAAGCTTTCCTTTTAAGCTTTTAGGTGGCAATGTCTTATGTCTAGCAGTGATTTTCATAGGGACAAATGGCATGAGGACATTTCATTGTTTTCATCAACTTTCGATAGATTCCTGTATCATTAGGGGGGCACTTGGATTTGCTGTGCAGAGTTGCGTCCCTTGGGCACGCCAGAAACCTATGATTGTGGGTTTGAATCCTGGTTCGCTCCGATTATTTTTCTAGGTTTGTCAGCACTATACCCGTGCTTGTGGGTTTCACCGAAGTGGTAAATGTCTGAGACCTGCATCACTTCAGGCTTTCCTCCCACATTAAACTGACATATAACTGGAATACTGTTCAAAGTGGCATTAAACTGAACTCACTCACTCATTGTATCATTAGCATGTTTTAGGGGTAGCATAGTGGTTCAGCTTTTCACTTGTCGAGCCAAAGGCCTGGGTTAGTGCCCCACATGGATACAATATGTTAAGCCCATTTTTGGTGTCTCCCTGCCAGGATATTGCTGGAATATTGCTAAAAGCAGTGTTAAACCATACTTGCTCACTCAGGACTTTTCAGATGACAATCAGTCAGTGTCTTAGAAAATAAACCGATCAGAAGAGAATGTTCTGGTGATAAAATGTGGTGGAGGTGTGGTAGACAGTTCTGATAGAACTACTATGAGACCAAATGTATTGTGTATGAAGTGTATTAATGCATAATCACTGTCCACATGGTCTGTAAATATCTATAGCATCTTTTGGGCGTGGCGGGCAGATAAAGACAGGAATTGTGTTTGATGTATCCCAGCATCAGTGTCTATCCACTACTAAATAACACTACTGTTCAGCTTGTCATTCGAGATCTTACAAGTGATGATGGCAAGTGTATGAATGCTTTCAAGTCCAAATTGCCTTCTTGGTGATAAGGCACACAATCTTGCAAAAATGATGTATTTATTCGGAGCCATGCCAGGTCTGTATCTTACCACATGTATTGGTAAGGCTTGGGTTTAAGGAGAAATCCACAGCACCAGAAATGATAAAAAGGGGCTCAGATTTGAAATTATCATTGAGGTAGATATGAGGGAAAACGGAAATGAAAAAATGCTGTTGGTGAATGTGAGATGCTCTTTACAATGTATGAAATGTCAATTAGGCATCTGGTTTTTGGAAATGTTTCCTTTTTGAAAGTTTTGCTGTTGCTCAAGGTGTATCTTGTTTATGTGTTTAGAATCATTGCAGGAATCAAATCAGTCGTAAAGTTCTGACTCAACTTC